TGAGGGGGGAGGAAGAGGAGGGGGGGGATGACCGGGGGTTCGTGGGTGATGCGTATGCGATGTATGGAGTGGACCAGTTAACACTACCAGGGACTCGACAGGGACACACCAATTACAAAACCACTAGCCGCCAGCCGGCTTGGAGGCCACACCAGTGCGCAGCAACAGGGCGCCATAGACTGCCACTGTCCTGACGCTCAGCTGGGTGGAGTCCAATGGGGTGGAACCGTTCTGCTGTAAGGGCAACTCCTGCCAGCCCGAAGGAAGAGAGCACACAGCACACAACAACCTCACATGAGTCTGAGCACAGAGGGGGATCCTTAGAGACTATCAAATACAAGGGAGGTATACTACTCACCTGAGCACAGAGGGGGATCCTTAGAGAACGGTTCAAGGATCCATGTGCCCAGGTGTCACACTATATAGTCAGCTGTGACAAGTGACCGATGATGATGGGATATCACTGCCATGGAACAATGGCAGATGACAAGTAGATAATGACAAACCCAGATAAGATAGTGAGTGGCTCAGAGGGGCCAGTGATGGCCAGCTCCTGAGACACCAACAGTGGAAGGCCACACTGGAGGAGCCCAGTGGCCAGGCCAGTGCCGGGCCGGCCAGTGGAGACATCGGAGGCGAGGACCAATGCCCGACTGGGAAGAGGGGTGGTGCGGATGAGCGCAAGGGCATCTGGTACGAGCCTGTACGGCAGTAGACCACATCCGCGGGGAGAAGGCCGAAGTGAAGGGGGAGGAGTGCGTACGGCAGTAGCACTCCCTGGTGCAAGGAATCGGGCTTGGCTAGACCGCTTGCGGGGATTTGAGGGAGATGGCCGGGAGAAGGAGGGAGAGGGCGGATGTCGGCATGGATGGAGATGAGGATCGGAGGAGGAGGAGGAGGCTGGGTGATCGACAGGTGAGCAGGCACGGGTCGGCAGAGAGGGCGCAGTGGGTCACGTGCATGGTCACGTGCCCAAGGAGCGCGGCGTCCCCTGACATTGATTGTCACACTTGCTAGTCTAGATATACCATTGTGTCATCGGCAAAGAGTGTAGTGATGAGTCTTTCTTGTACCCCTGTGATTGTCATGGATTATAGACATTTACAATTTATAATTGATTGTACATGTTGATTGACCAAGTGCTTCTTAGTGATCAATGGATCAAAACTCTTAGTTACATGATTTCACTTGCATAGCCTTTCACTGCCTTGCTGTATACATAGCTTTTCTGATATTTACTACAGAGCGCAGTTATATGCTATGTACACAGCCTTTTAGTTTAAATTATATAAACGATTGACCCTCTTAGTAGAGGGGCATCTTACCTTTGAAATCTCATCTGTTATCCACACTCTGACTTGCCCTTGAAGCTTACAAGCTTCATAACACTTATCAATTACATCTACTGTGTTGCTCAACCAGTAGTTTATTGATACATTATTCTATGTTCACATTTTGCTAAATCTGTGAATACTAGAGTACTCTAATTGTTGGTATATTTGTTGAGCACTGGGGAGAGCATCTAGCAACCCACCTGTGTGAGTTGAGAGCTTAGTGTGGGCACTATGCAAGAGTAGTCAAGAGACTTGTATTAAAGAGTAATAGAACCCTCCTTATATATGATACAGGGGGCTGTTTGTGTTTATTTAGGACAAGTCGATGTGACTCTAGATGACACGTGATGGAGTCATAGATGTGTATCACAACATCCATCTTGACAGATGATATTTGATCAACAATATTCAACAATTCACAACTACCGGATATTGGACCCATTATATAAGAGTCCCAATAAACCTCGCTCTTGTGTCAATAAGATTTTATAATCACAACTGCATGATTATCCAAATATAATCTATTGATTTTGTTAACAGTGATCTTTATTCCTGTCAGGTCTGATTGCCTCAGCGCTTCTGCTAGTGGCTCAATTGCTAGGTTAAACAGAAGGCAGGATAGTGGATCCCCATGTCTTACTCCCCTTGTTACTCAGAAGGGGTTTTGGCTGTTCTCACCGTTTACGATCACATATGTATGTGCATTGCTATATAAGCTTTTGACAGTATTTATGGATTCTTCTGGTATTCTGTGGCTCTGTAGCATCTTCCACAGGTAGTCATGTTTGATTTGATCATAGGCCTTTTCTTGGTCAAGTGCAACAATTACCCCATTCTATTCAGTGACTTTGGCCAGTTCAATGATCCATTTTGTCAGCCAAATTTGGTCTTTGATTTGTCTTGCCTTTACAAATCCAGCCTCATTTGGGTGTATAAGTTCAGGTGCCACATCCACTAGCTTGATGGACAGCACCTTGGTGAATATTTTGCTGTCCATGTTGAGCAAGGAGATTGGTCTATAGTTTGCTATATTTGTTTTGTTGTTCTTTTTGTATAGTGGGCACATCCATGTGACAATCAACAAGGAATAATGTTGGAAAGAGGAGTGAATTCGAAGACTGGAGAATACAACAAAATAGCTACAGTATTTATACCCAAATCCAGTCTGAGTCATATCTACAACTAATGAGTCATAAGACTATGTACCACATGGAGCGCTGGTTATGGGTCATGGTAGAACCTTCTGGAGCATATGTTGCGCAGCCTTGCATTGATAGAGATAACCCCCCTGAGCCCCTAGTCCAGACCGTGTGATGCCATGATCTGTGATAAGATAACCCATGTTGAGATCAGATAAGATTGTCAATGGAAAGATGAAAAAGTGATCGAACTATGACAATCCAGCTTTCTGCAAAGTTTGTTCCTTGTACCATCCCATGGCATTCAATGTCATTGTATACTTTCCTTAGTATCTCTAGGATGTCAAATGAGGGCTTCTCAATGCATTCTGCTGTGTGGTATCTGTCGTTGGGGACCCCCCAGAGTTCATATGGGATTCTGTCTAGGCCAGGGGCTTTGAAGTTGGCTGAACATTTTAATGCTTTTTGGATGTTTTCACGTGTTGTTTGTTTTTGGAGCATGGCATTTTGTTCATCTGTGGTATAGGTTCAGGTTCTTCCTGTTGCAGAATGATGTCTCTTGGCTTATTCAGTTTGTTGACTTTTGTCCAGTAATGGCCTATTATCTCACCATGGAGTCTGTTTTGGATTTGCACATTCAGGCAAAAGAAGCGGTATTGTTTCTTCTATAGCTGAGCCAGCTTTTGCTGATAATTGCTGCGTTCAGGTGTTTTTTGTCCTCTGGCATTATTTGTCTGCAAGCACTTGCTCGAGTTGGAGTTGGAGTTTTGTTGTCTCTTGGACGATCACTGGAGCCATGGCTTTTGACCATTCTCATGCTTTTTTGTTCATTTTTTTCTTGAACAGTGCCCATTTGGTCTGTGGGTTATTTGATGGGGTCCAGTTATTTTTTGTCATTTTTTGTCATTTTTTCCATCTTTGTTTGTAGTTCCAGTCCTGCCTGTTGGATGTACTCTGCTAGGAGTTTGTTGTTAATCAGGTACGTAGGCCATGCCCATCTTCCATGTCCAATTGTGAAGGCCACTGCCATTGATTTCATCATCCATATGAGATTGTGGTCAGTTTCAATCCCAACTTGTTTAATTCCCCATTCAAATATGTGATTGAAATCAGTGTTGTTCAGGTTGGGTCGGGTCAGGTCAGGTCAACCCGGTTTTGGGTCGGGTCGCATAGCCACAGACCCGACCCAACCCACTTTTCGGGTCAGCGACAGCAACAACAAAGGAGGGGTGGGGATGGTGCGGGGAAGTTGGGAATCGACCTGTAGAAGCATGTAATGATCTTTGGCAGCCTGGGATCAGCTTCCCTAGCTGCCAATCGAGATTTTGATGGCGCAAACCGGGTTGGGTCGGGCAATTTTGGTTGACCCAACCTGAGACCTGACCCGACCCGACCTGAAAACTGGGTCGGGTCTCGGGTCTTGACCTGACCCGGAACAACACTAGATTGAATACATTTGATCTGACGTAGAAGGGGGAAACTTTGCACATGTAGATTTGAGCTCATGATAGTTCTATATGTAGACAAGGCAAAGTAATTAGTCTCAGTTGGTCAATGGAAAAGATGACTCTTTATTAGTACCTGTAGATGAGACAAAGTAATTAGTCTCAGGTACGTAAGTAAGTATATGGGTGAACTTGGAAAGGGAATGTTTGCACCTCAGTTGGTCAATGGAAAAGACAACTGAGGTGCGAATGTGACCAAAAATGGGAGATATAGTGACCATACATAGGAGTTGATCCAAGTCCCAGACCCGGACCAGAATCTCCGCTAACACTATATACCAGGTTGATCCTAACAATCTCTCCCCTTTTCTCTCTCTTTCTCCAACTTGAAAAACTTGTATAAACTCGGCCGTCTGCCCAGAGATAGGATATGAGCCTGTAGCGACCCCGCCAAAATTTAAAAAAATCTCATATGGCGCAGCACGTGACTTCCCCGCCATCCCACCCATTTGGTACCTCACGTGATTGTGTTTTTCTTACCCATATGCCCGCTCTTGTGGACAAATTACATGGTATGTATGGGCACCCCCTCCTGACCCCCACACATCCCCCTGCCTCCAGCATGGTCAGCTGCCCCTGCACCCCTGCGGGGTCTATACCGCGTAATGGCGGTGGTAACTGAGGTGATACAACGGATGAGCCCCCCGTCCCTCCCTGACTGCTCCTCATTTAGATCGCGCCAGTAATCTAGTCACATACCGACTGCCCGTTTGCCAACATTAAATTTGCTTGATTCATGACTGAGCCTTCGCCGGTGGATGCCCTTCCACAAATCGAATCGGAATAAAAAAAAACTGGTATTTAGCGAATGTCTAGTTCTGGTTCGAGAGAAGTTTCTTCTCAACCTCAATGTCAAGCCGGGTGACCCCGAGCAAGGTCATTCTGCATCTTCTCATCCAAGACAACCAGCACAATGAAATCGTCCTACTCAGAACACAACCGGATGCAGCTTTGGTACTCTCTCCTAAGCAGACTCGGAGAGATGTCCCCCTACGAGTCGAAGATGTTTTTGCCAGCAAGATCTCGAATTCAGAGCGATACATTTAACTGTTCAATATTACAATGCCGTAATCTACAAACCCACTATGGATACAAGAGGCGCGTCCAGCGGCAATAGATAACGTTTATGACGAACCAAAGCTCGCATTATCGAATAAGATACTATTTTAAGGCGAGGTTGAGGGCTCCGAGCACGATCTGATACGCGAGCTCGATGGTGTCCCAGAGCGCGGGGTCCTCGATTCCCAACGCAACCATGTCCTGCCAGAGCTCTTTGACGTGGGCGACGTGTGTCATGAGCGTCTGGATGCTCCCCCCGGAGACGGAAAACAGGTGTGCCGCAAGCTGCTGGCGTTCGCCGGCCGAGCTCGCGTGCAACGCCGCACAGACCGCCTTGTGAGTGAGCCCGCCCTTCCGGAGGAACGGCAGCTGCGGCGGGATGGGTAGTAGCGCGACGAGAACAGCGTCCAGTCGGTGCGTGTACATGAACGCGAGCAGGATCGAGAACGCCGGCGCAGATGGAAGAGCGAGCGGGAGGACAGGCAGGTTTACCGCTCCGATGCCCCGGATCCCGGGGGACGGGAGCGGCGGTAGCTTCGAGCAATGGGCGGCCAAGACAAGCCCGTGCACAGGAAAGATGTGGTGCTTGTCAGAAGAGTGAGACGACGGTGGGCCGGAGATGGCCAGAATATGCGTCGGATACAGCGGCCGCAAGCGGTGTTGCAGAGGCAGGAGGGGGACCGTCATGACACTCAGCAGCTCATGACGAGATATTGTACAGGGCAAATGCGCAGATGAGAGACACGAAGTGCCAGCGAGCATTCTGTGACATTCGGTCAATGACGAGATAGTTGATGTAGGCGACGACGTACTCGGGAGTGGTGGCCAGCAGATTATCCCTGATTATCTCCAACGGTGTTTCGCACAGTTCAGGGCACGCCGCGACAAGCGAAGCAGAGGAGATCGGCGGGAATGATGATGGTCGGCCGAGAGTGCGGGGAAGAGAGAAGTTGGTGGATATGGGGCGCGTTGTGGATGGCATGGCGACGAGGGGGATGTACAAGGTTCAATGAGTGTGGCTGCGCGGTCTAGTATCTCTTTGAGGATAACGCTCTCGAGATCTCTGACCTGCGATTTATGCGATCCCAATACAATTAGTGTCTCCAGTCATTGTATTGTGGAGGAGTGATCCGAGTAGAAACTCTCACAGAGTTCACAATTGTCACAAGTAGTTCACATCCCGATTCGAGAATCTCCAATTGTGAAAGTGGCCATCCCCACACAATTACCCGGTGCCTCACTAGGTAAGTCAACGCGGGAGATCCTGCATCTGCAAGTGAGCTTCTGAGTGCAAATCCATCGTCGCAAGAAGCATATGCTCTGAAATTTGGTTCAAGCACGGCGAAAGACAGTATTGAGGGAGTTAGAGGAAGGCACATACGGTGGCTCGGGTCATCCTTCCCTAATTAGGAAATGTCCGCCGCCAATTGTTGGATCCCAAGTTGGATCTGTGCACTATTGTGGGAGAACCAGGGACTTGTATTCCAATAGCGACATGGTCTCGAGCTTCTTGGAGGTGCTGCGACAAGAGCCTTAGGCGCTTTACAGGTACAGTTCTTACTGTCCAAAGTCTTTGTTTTCCGAGAGAGAGAAGGATACCCGACGTATGATACCACAGTAGACACGAGATCAACGACCGAGACCATGCATGGACAATAAGCCGATCAAATGGTGATCATGACTGCGCACATATATCTGAATCGGATTCATGCAATTTATGCGGTCATTTACTTCCGCGGAATCATTCCATTGTGCCCTGATATGCTGCTATTCAATAGTCGAGTGCTAGTTTACGCTGAACGATGAGCGCAGAAAGCAAAATGTGATCGAAAGAATGGTGTCCGTCTGGGAAAATGGTGAGCACAGCGTGCGGCAATGGAGGAGGGGCGTCCAATGGGGGCGGAACGAATGTCGCCAGCTGGGCCGGAGACTCCGCTCTCGTGTAGCACTTCGAGTACTATAATCAGTATATCCTGGAGATAGCGGAGTCCTGCTCACAATACACATCGGAGAACCGTCTTCTAGAGTCACACGACAGTCCCATCGAAGACCGACGCCCTCCCAATTCCACAACCAATGTCTCTGTTCACAAGACAATTGTAAGTGAGGCGGCCCCTGGAGAAAATTACATACGGAAGCTGTAGCGTACATCACGTCGGAAAGACGTGCAGTCGTGTCGCCTATTGTTAGGATGGCACGACGCTGATTTGGAGATAGCCTACCAGAGGTTAGGTAAGGATCGCAATTTTGGACGGAAGATCTCACTCGAAGTCCCCGATGAAAGACTCGTGTGCTTCCTCGACACGGTGGACAGTTGTTCGGTAGGAGAAAGGGACAAAAGGGTTCAGGTTCAGTGATACGGAGACACGGTATTGCCCTCGGTCGTCGGATTCCTCCGGGGGCATCATCATCATCGTGTTCAGGTCATCGCCTGGGGTGAACGAGTAAGAGAGAGGGATCTGTGGCCGACGGACGCGAGTGTAGCGCGGCGGTTGAGAGAGATTGGACCCAAGATAGCTGGTACAGCTGGTTTGAAATATGCTGCGCTGGCAAGGAAGGCACGCAAGTACTCTGGGAGTTCAGACTCTGCTGAGCTCGCAATCGAGTTCCTGGTCGTCTCTGTCGTCATCGGATGAAGAGTGCGGCTGTAAGTAGTGGTCACTGGTCAAGATCATGGTGTGTAAAGGCCCGATTACATCATATGCCCTGACCAACAATCCAAGTCTCTTACAACCACCATGGCCTTTACTCTGCAGCTCGGGACTCCGGTCAACACCGCACTTTTCGTCTTCATCCTATATACTGTGCAGAAGATCGTCTATCCCAGTGTCTCTCGCTCAAAGCAGATCCCGAACGAATTCAAAGCCGGGTACTCGTGGTTACCCAAGTCCCACCCACCGACGGTGCTGTTCAAAACGTACACTCCGAAGTCGCTAGAGCCCTTCAGTGGAAGGGATGGAGGGCGAATCCTCCTGGCCATAAACGGGATCGTGTTCGACGTGACTGCGGGGCGCAACTTCTACGGTCCCGGTGCGCAGCCCTCAACCTACCTCCAGCTTTGTCGAGTCGAGCACTGAGGCGGTGCATCATCCCTGCAGATTCAATGTACGGAAACTTCGCAGGCCGGGACGCGTCCCGGGGGATGGCGAAGCAGTCATTCGACGCCGGTGCGTGACTGTCGGTCTGTTCTTCACCGGATCCACTGATCGCGCCGGGCTTCCAGAAATTCTGACACCAGTTGACCAGCCCCTGGACAAGCTGGATGATCTTCAGCAAGATGAAATGTGCGCAGCCTCGTGCTCCTTGTAAACACTGATTATTTACTTCAATTTTTTACCCTCCTTAGTGACAACATGAAAGGCAGGCTCCATGGTATAAACTTTTAAAGTCCTTGCTGACCACTGCTTCAGGCTGGATCGAGCATTTCTCGAACAAATACATCATCTGTGGCAAACTTGTCGAAAACAATGCTGTTTAAGCTGATGTCGATTTCTATCTTTGTGTATCACTGTAAAATCATAGTTTCGCGTGCATATCCATTTACTTAGACTTTCCTTATGCTGCGAATCAGTAAAGACCGCCAAACTTTGTCTACCCTTGCTCTACCTGGGTTCATTTGACAACGGGACACTGCTGAGTAATCAAGTTTACACGTGTTGCTGGAATGACGTTTTTTGCTTGCATTCAACCAGCATGAGCTCACGGACAACCGCCCTCACTATTGCTGGCCTCTCGGTCTGCGGTCTGGTGGCATATGCCGCGTACTTTGACTACAAACGTCGAACTGACGCCGCATTCCGCAAGACTCTGAGTAGGTCACTTTGGGCCCCCACTACCGCGCCGTGTTCTCAGCGCTCTCATCTGCAGAGAAGCAAAAGAAGCGCGTGGACAAGTCCCTCGCACAGTCTAAACAGGCTGCGGAAGCGGCTGCTTATGTTACGGACGCTCAGCTTGCGGAGGCATTGAAGTCAATCAAGAGCCAGCCTCCACCTGCCACCCGGGAGGCCCAAGAGGCTCACTTTATGGAGCAGATTTCGATGGGAGAGCAGCTTTCGGTTACCGGTACGCTCCCCTGTCGTTAGCTTATCCCCTCCGACGCCTCATGCATTTCTGCAGGCGAAGCTTTCTACCTACCTGCCGCATTAGCATTCTACCGGGCGCTGACCGTGTATCCGTCTCCCTCCGAACTGCTCGGGATCTACCAAAAGACAGTCCCTGAAGCAGTCGTCAAGGTTCGTGCACATGCTGAGATCGCACCGGCCATTGTTCGCTGATGCCTCCTCCAGCTCGTGCTCCGCCTTGTAAACCTTGACGTGAGTTCTTCTACACAAGACTTGGGCATCGACGATACGGAGGATGTGAGCCCTGTCCGGGCGGCGTCCGAGACGTCATCACAGGACTGGGACCGAGTCACCGATCCTGGGCATCCTGCTCCGTAAGCCACAAAAACCGTAGCCACTGCCCCGATATACATCCTCCCCATCATCCATATATGCTGCTTGAACTGTTCTAATACATCCACTTTTGGGGAATTGCTTTCTTGCTTAGATCGTGCCCATGATCGAAGGTGCGCCTGCCTTTGTCTAGATGGTCGCCGTGTTTCGATCCAGCTCTCCAGCGTTCTACGCCAGTTTCCCGCCAAAGTCGACGCATGTGTCTATCCAGCCGCGCGATGAGAAGCTTCCGTCGGCTGGACCTGTCAAAGTGCTTGTGCTGAATGAAGATATTGAAGCGGGGCAGATAATCTACACGGTGAGCTACATGGTTCACGTCGCGATTATGTTGGCCTCAAGGGTGCAGGAACATCCGATGTTGACGTCATTGGATTTCGATCTGCAAGCTGCTGGGACGCACTGCTTCCAATGCTTCAAAGAGCTCAGTGACCCGGTTTCATTGACATCTGCCGCTGGTGACAAAGCTCTCTTCTGCTCTACAAAGTGTCAAAATGCGGCCAAGTCCCAGTGGCATTCATTCCTCTTCACCGTCGACCCACCGATCCCTGGAGTTCCCGAGTTCGCCCAGCTTGCCCCCACACCAGAGGGGCTCGAGGCGCGCCGCGAAGCGCAGTCCAAGTTTGCCGCGTACCTGAACAAAGACCAGAAAGCTGTTTCCTCACTTGTCGCCAAGTTCATCGCGCGGCAGCTGACTGCTGCCGGGCAACCGCACGCGGAGGACGACTATGCCCAAGCGGACGGCGCGCAGAAGTACGCCATCGAAGACTACGTCGAGCGCTGGACCACCGGCAAGGGGGAGCCGTCCGAGGAGGAGTTCGGCTTGTTGGTCAATCTCATGCGCAACACACTTCCGGGGCTGGAGGCATTTCTCCCTCAGGACGGACACAAGTCCCTGTGCGGGAAGCTCGCGTTCAACGCCTTCGGGGTCACTTTCGGCGAGGGAAGAGAAGATCGAGTGGGTTTCTGTTCATAATCCCCATTTGTGTCTTCCTGACGTCTGCGCAGCCGGCGTCGACGCATCGGCCCGAAAACACCGAGATCACGCGCACGGCAGCTGGCACAGAGCGTCAGACTGGCACAGCACTCTACTCGATATCGACGTACTTGCCGCACTCCTGTGAGCCCAACGCGCGAGCCACGTTCCCGAACGGAACGTCCGAGCTGCACTTAGTCGCAGCCAAAGACCTCAAGAAGGGCGATGTGCTCAGCGTTGCGTATGTCGATGTCACTCAGAAGGCGGACGAAAGCGCCAGCGACTGCCGTCTGCGGCGGAGGAAAGAGATTGCCCGGGGATGGAAGTTCCCCTGCGAGTGTTCTCGCTGCCTGGCTGAGGCACAGGCCCAAAATTAGATGCCATGCCATCATTTATTCTTGTAATACACGACCTTCAGTCTAATAGAATATCCCCGCTCCTTGCCGTGTCTGTTTGATCCGTTGGAAAGAAAAAGACTGCTAGTACTCATCCGAATGCTCACATTCCAGACGAAGTATGATATTAAAGTGCTAGGATAGCAATGCACAGATAAACACTGGCATTCGCGACTAATCACGGCTACTTCTTGATCGACCGTACCTGGTCACGCAGTTTGTCGTTCTCCATCTGCAGATTGTTGAGCTCTTCCATCAGAGCCATCTGCTGGCCGGACCCCGCATTCCTCACAGCATCGACCTCCGTTCGAGCTGCTTCCAGGGCAGCTCGCACCTCGGTCAACTGCCCCTCGAGTTGCCGACGGACCGCTTCTGGTGCAGCTGCAGCCTCCTCAGCGAGAGCAAGGGTCTTAGCGCTAAGCGCATTGTTGGCTTCCGTCAATTGGATGCAAGTGGCTGCCTGATCAGCTGCACTCGCTTCCACATCCCGCTTCTCGCTCAAGACCCGCTCGACGTTGTTCTCCAACTCGGTGACTTCACTTTGCCTGGGAGTAATGGATCGAGTTCATCAAGTTGTAACTAGGATCTGATAACAAAGGCACTCACAAGGCGGAAACTTTGGTAGTCAAATCCATATTGCGCTCCTCGAGTGTGCGGACCTGTTTCTGGTACGTCTCCAAGGCAAGATTGCCCTCTTGCGCAAGTTTCTGGGCGCGCTCTGCGTTCTTCTTCAACAGATCATGTGCCTGCGCGAATCGGATGAGTCTCTCGATCAAAGATCGGTCGTCCGCAATGAGAGCCTGCACTCGCGCGGCGAATGCTACAAAAGTGAATGTGCCTCCTACGGAAGGGTTTGGACTCGGCGGTGCTCGCGGATCATACAATGATTTCAGAGCCCGTACGTCCAGCTCCGAAAGGGATCCCGGAGGATTTGGGCTGTTCGGAGAACTATTCGTCGGCGACGTTGGCCCGGAGCCAGCCCGGAAAGCACGTTGTTGGGAAAATTTAGCTGCCCGTGCCTCAGGAGATGGAAGGATAGCCCAAATGGGCTGCAGCAAAGCTATGATTTCTTTGTTGTCCGCAGTCTCCACTTGGGCCGGGGGCGATAGTGACGGCACATCAGTCTAGATACATTTCAGTGGACCAACTCGAGGAATGTACTGTTTTCGTACCTTGACACGCAATTCCATTGCCCTCAACTCGTTCCGTGCCTCTTCTCGCTCTCTCCTGGCCTCTTCAATGTCTCGTGACAAGGCTTCTCGCTTGTCCCAACCAGCGCGTACATCTTCCTCGAGCTTGCGCCGAACAGTGTCCCATTCTGCTTGCGCAGACGCATGACTGTCAGCATTGGCGGCTAGACCCTGCACATGTGTTCCAATCGTAGTCACCAATGCCGTAATCGAAGGGTTTCGTGCATAAAGTGGAATGCTATGTGTCGCGATCAGCGCCTGAAGTGCAGCCGTACTGTCGTCCAGCTCTGTTTGCAGAAGTTTCAAAGCAGCGGTATCCTCGGCTCGAATTCGATCCGATTCTTCCTGCAGACGGGCGAGGTCTTCCAGCCGTTCTTCTTCGACAGCATTCCTCTCTTGTGTCAGTGACTCCCTCTCCTCGTCGAACCCTCGAACCAACTCTGCCCGCTCTTGATCCGCTCTTGCCCTCTCTGCTTTGATCAATGCATCAACATCCGGGCGGGCCGCTTCCAGGGCGGCGATGGTTTCCTGAGCGCGTAGCAGTTCCTCGGCGCCAGCAATATCTGTTTCTGCGAGCGCAGCTTCCCGAGCCCGATTGGCCTCCGTAGCTCGGTCTGCTTCGGCACGAGCAACTTCCTCGGCAGCTTCCTTTTCTGCACGGGCGGCAGCAAGGTCACGAACGAGCTCAGCCTGTTTCGCACTAGAAGCGGCAAGTGCCTCAGTAGCACGGGTGAGCTTCTCCTCGAGCTCCATGACGGCTGCCGCAGGAACTATCTTGCTAATGTTGCTATTGGGAATCACGCTGCTCTCGTGTCCGGCGAAGAAGTGTGCGCCGTCGAAACGAGTGACGGTCGATCCGCTCGGGCTGTGATGAGGCGTCGTGTATCCAGAGTCGTTATGCGTGGAGTCGTTCTTGCGTTCCATGGAGCGCACAGAGTAACTGAGCACGCCAGCACGGTGTTCGAGCAGACGGCGGTTGACTTCATTTGTACGTTCCGTGATACGCTGGAGCTCTAGCTGAACAGCAGCGACGCGTTTGTTCGATGCCTCCAGCTGCTCTTCTGATTGTTTCGACACCGTCTTGTGAGACGCATTGACTTTACTGAGTGAGAGAGCTGCGTCACGGATCTTCGTCTCAAGCGTCACTTTCTTGGTCAAAGAGCCTTGACGGGTCATGAGAGACAATTGTTCCTGCAGTCCTTTAGACGATGCAGGTTCTGCGGAATGCGAGCATACCTTCTTTAGTTCCTCAACTTCCTCTGAGCTCAAGATCTCGAAATCCCGACTATCTACAACAGCTTCACTTGCGAGAAGACTGATTAGAAGCTCGTCGCGCCTGTTAGCCGGTGGTTGTGACGCGGTGCGAGATCTCACAGGCCTCGTGTTCGGCGAGGACATGCGGGAGAGTGACGACGGAGATGATGGTTTGGGCGATCCGCTGAGTGGGGGCCGCTTGGACTGGGACCTGGAACGTACGGGAGATCGTGGGGTCTCTGCCTCCTCCAGCTTTTCCTTCCTGAGAAGAAGTGGCGAGGTGATTGGTGAGGGAGGGTTGGAGCCCGAGGACGGCAGTGGCGGAGGCCATGTTGGAGCACCTGGCTTGAGCGGCGCCTCAGAGGTAGGAGGAGACGCAGTCCCTCCAGTCCCTCCCGTGGCAGATGCCAGGAAGCGGCGCACCCCGCCGAATCCGTTCATGGACGAAGACAAGTTTAGCAACACAGCCACCTACTTCTTGTCTTTTGCTTAGTTGCTATGCGCAGTTTCTTCTCCGGCTGGATCATAGCTGCTGCACCCAGGCCTGCCAACTCGGCTTTTAGTTCCAACCTTACATCGCATCGTTACTCCACTACTCCGCTGTCTTGATATGCCCGCCTTGTCACGATCGACCTCCAACGGATGATCATCGATATAATAGGTGCATGGCGACAACCTCCTTACCAGACTGCCAAGATGACTTTCAGTCCGATGGGACAAGCTCCCCATGGGTATTTCCTTTGCTTCCTGTTGTTCGCGCCGACTTCGCGTGCAACAACTGAGTAACGTTGCTTCGTTAACTAAGTTACAGGCACGTACACGTCTTAAAGCAAGGCTCAATCGACGACGTTTAAGCCTGTTCTCATTACCGACTACTGCATTGTGTATACAGATAACTAATATCATTTCTTGTCAGTGGGAGCATATATCCACATTCAAGTCCTTCTGCTTTGACCGGCTCGTAAGCACGATGCTCACGCTCTAACCGGGTCACGGCGTCCCGTGGAATGTGTTGCACCCGGTCTCTCCGGCGTCAGGGTGTCTGCGAATGAGCAAAATGAGACTAAAGGATCTCATCACACTGACCGTCATGTGCAGGGCAGGCACTCGTGACTGATGCTTAGTGGAGAATTACAGTGTAGATGAACGGCCTTCTGAAAACCCGAAATTAAATAAGTACGGCCGAAGCTCCCAGCGATACAGTGAGCGCCCCGAGTCTGCGCGCAGTACTTTTACCTCGACCCAGAAACCACCTCGTCGAGTTGATCCAGTTGTTTGTTTGACTCGATCGGACCAATTTTCCGACCTCCCTTTCTTCTCGACTACACACTCCATTTCTGTAGCTCCCTGGACTGGCGCCATATGGCCGGTGCCTCTTCACCGGCATACGCATGCGCGTGTCTCAACGTCCGGATACACCGCGCCTCGCCACCGCCCGCCTCACAAGACTCGACTCCACCCGCAGCAGCCGCGACGGAGAATGAGTTTACACGGGTCTATGTTGGTGATGAGGGGATATCCATCGTCAGTCCCTGTCCTCGCTCTTGCAATATCTGATATTCAAGACGTGTTCTCTTCGGCGCTCAGACGCATCCGCAAGTAACGCTACGGATACAGACGCGTGGAATGTTGGCCGCCCACCATCGGCGTGAGCGGTATATGGTGTTGGCTTGTCTTGTCTGTCAGCTATCGGTGTATCGCGTTCATCAGGTCGTCTCTTTGGATGCGGACAGCAAGGATGGGCCCTCGATACCTGCGGAAGATTGGGTCGAGCGAGATATTCTCAAATCGTCTTCAGGTTGGATCGAGGTGCACAGACGATGTTTGGTGAGTCGTTGATGTCTTTGTCCACTCAAGATACGAATCTCATATCCTACAGACCGGAAAGTCCATTGCACAGGCCCAGTCGTCCCTTTCCTACTCGCCGCTGTTCTCTATGATCGTTCCGACTATCACGAAACCGGTGGAGCCCCCGACACTGGAAGAAATCCCACCGATGTCTTACCTGACACACTTGACCAATCTCTTCCTTCCACCGCCCTTCACGCCCAGTCACCCTGTATTTTCTCATCTCGCTTCGCTCGCCAAAATACAGTCAGATGCCCGTCGAGCGGCCCTCGACCAGGAGATCGCTGATTTTGTTCGCGCGAAGACCGCGGAACTGGCGCATACCGAAGCGGTGTTGCGATCGCAAGTCGAAGCCTTGTGGCGCAAATTCCACGAGGGATTAGAGGCGGCAGAAAGTCTAGGCATGGCAGCAGGGGTCGTGTCGCCTCGGTCACCGCGCTCGCCTGGCCCTGGCCACAACTCACGCACCACCTCAATAAGCGTACCCGCATCATCTGTCACGCGCGACTTTGAGCCGCTTCCCGTCCCCCCCACACGCTCATCTCCCCCCGTTGCGATTGCCTCCTCTTTGTTGACGCGTGCAGGGCAGCATCTGCCACGTGCAGCACCGGCTACCCCGATCCGACCGCCCTCAGCACACTCTGGTTCGAGCCGGACGTTGACAGGGAGTTCTCCCACGCTAGCTGGATCGCCTCATGTGCCTCCGAGGCCGTTTGAGGGTTCTTCCGTGATCCAGTTCCGGAGGCAGATGGACGAGGAGATCAATACAGTGGCCAGTTATCGGTACTTTCAGAACCTGGAAGAGGATATGGCCCGGATGCAGGCTGCTCGCGCAGTAGCTGAAGCCACTCATGCACCGCCAGTTGTGGAACCACCCCCCAGGCTGGCCCCAGTAAAGTGAACGGCACAAATGGCACGACTGAAAAACCGCAAGAACCATCGCCAACAAAGGACAAGGGGAAGCGGAAGGTGGTCACGTTCGACTCTCAACCAGCGGTCGTTACCATCAAGCGGGAGGTGAAGGCCGAGATTGAGGAGGAGAAACGATTGGCGCAGAATGAATCTGAAGGTGTGTGTGCCTGTGCTTCGTCCAAGAACTCAGTGTTAAATGCATCGCAGAGATGGTTTTCGATTTGGAGACGGACGACGATGGCCAGCAAGCTGATGCTGAACACCTCGCCATCAAATTGGTCGAACCAGAACAGCCACGAGCGCAGCAAATCAGAGCCTCCCGGCGGAAAGTGTCAGACGATCCGTTGGGCCTTCCGCAGTCTTTTGCGGCTCTACGCTCGGCATCTATGCCGATACCTTCGACAATAAACAAGATATGGTCAACTGAGCCATCAAATGACGAAGAGCTTCACGAGGAGCCGTCAGAGGAGGACGACCAAGTGCCAGAGATGGAGGTGTACGACTCGCGTGATCTGGAGATCCGGAAAATGGTCGGTGCCAGCCTTCCCAGCCATCGGCGAGGCTGGTCGAAAAACGGCGTGACCTGGAAGTCATTCGTCACACGAGGGCGAGCACCGGGGGATGATCAGATCGATGCTGATGTTGAGGCTGCGGCTCCCCCAGTGGCGAATGGTCAGTTGCATAGCATGTTTTCCCATCTGTCAAGTTACTGAACGCGCTAAAGGACTCCCCGGATCAATGCCTATCGCCATGCGCTCTCTGACGCAGTCACATCCGGTGCTGAGCCTTGCTTCGTACCGACCACCAGGTCCCTCAGATCCCCGGCTGCAAGAAGACACGCATATCCCGTCAAGCTCTGTGCGGAAGCAGCTCTACATCGAACGAGACATGATCCGAGGGATCGACCCTGGTGCCTTGGATTTCGCCACGGACGACGAGGACGAGGACGGCCTTCTTCCCGCTCCGGCTCCCGTCAACGTCGTTGTGCCTGACAGCACGCTCTCGCCACATCCAAATGACATGACTCTGGACACGGAGCTTGGCGCGGATGACGGGAGCGGCCGTCAATTGGCATTGAAGATCCTCCAGGCTCGCAACGAGCTGCCTGATTCCGGCATGTGGCGCAGTCTCGCATCCTGATCCCAGCCAGTCCTGCCGGCAATATACACATCACTTGATTCACTGCTTTCCCTGCATATATATCATTCAGCCTGCATATTCACTCGCATTTATCTTGCCATGGTAATTGTACATATTCTGATCTACGCTCCAAATAAGTAGGTGTACTTTAATGTGTATCGTGTTGGCTTGTGACATGTATCAACGAAGGAGTGATCGAGAAGCGGAGATTTCCTTTTTCAGTGAGATTGAAGTGGCTGTCTATTGAGCATAGTGAAGTGTGGCATTTTAAAGTGTAGTAACACCCCTTTCGAATGTTCCGTCGATGAATGGCTTGTTACCTGACAGAAAAATGATCTTTGCGGGATAAGTAGCATCGCGTATGGTCTGGAACAGCAAACGCTACATTCTACTAGAGCATTCACTACATTCCGTGGGTACCTAGACCCTGACGGGTCTAGATCGGGGGATCAATGTCCGAGACAAGTCCGACAAGAGCCGAGGCGCCTAGACCATCAGGGACTTCGGCGCTAGTCCCTAATTTGGGTCGCCGGCTACCGAGCTGTGCCTTTTTGAGTAGTCACCCGTGTGTAGTCACTATTCCGGAACCGGTCGGCCCTGGGGCTACTGGCTGCTACTGGTGCCTACCAGAGACGTTGCCGCCAGTCCACCCTTTTGACTCCTCCATACTTTTCCTTCATCCACACTGTACTAGTCAGTGAATGCAGTTGTTGAGCCATCTCAAAAATCTCCATTCTCGTTGTCAAGCTGGTGCCAGTGTGAAGGGACCGTGTGCGTGTGCGAGTTTTCAAAACAGGCAACCATGTCATTTTAGCTTTTTCCGTCCCTGGTCCTCATACGCAATGGGCGGTAGACATGTAACAGTAAATACAAGCGGTTTTAATAATGCATTCATGCTCTCTATAAAATTTGTAGTATCTAAGAATGTCCACAATGGCGGGAGAGGTGGGACAGGCCCGAAATTGCGCTCAGAGAGTGCCGTGGGAGCGAGAGGGGACTAGCCGAGACTGAATGATGGCCGATCAGTGACCGATCTCTCTCGACCCCACTTGGTCACATGTAGCCACCGGTAATCACTATGATGTCTACATGCGTAGTCACGCTCAAGGGGTTATGGGTGACTAGTTTCCTAGTCTCCTTCGGGGTCTAGGTACCCACGGAATGTAGTGATTACAGTACAAGTACAACAAAAAGCAGCAAAGCAGCAAGAAAGCATGGGGGGCACTTAATCATATTGCGTAAGCTGGGTGGTTGGTCAGCACAAGTCGCACCATGTACATGGAACACACACATCGAGCGTCAACGTCCTCGAGCTGTTCACATCCTGGTCACGGTAGATCCCGACCAACGAGTTGCCCCGCTCGTATAAAGATCCCTTTAGACTGATGACGATGAACTGGAACGCGTCTGAGGCATGGCTGGTGATGTAGTTCGCGATCTTGGCCACGTTCGTGTTGTCCAGGGCAGCGTCTACTTCGTCCAGCACGAAAAACGGCGCAGGCTGGTAGCTGTGGATGGCAAACAGCAGCGCCAGTGCCGCAATCGTCTTCTCTCCACCAGACAGCTGCTCCATGTCTCGGAAGCGCTTCATTGGTGGCATCGCGTGGTATTTGAGACCCCCCAGATACGGTTCCTGGCTCGTGCTTAAAACAAATCTCTGGTCCAGACATAGATATACGTACCTCGTTATCCTCTAAACTCAGATATGCGACTCCGCCCATCGGTGCTGCCTTCCCTTTCGTCAAGTCTTTGTACACTTGGTCGATGTGATCCGAGATATGGTTATAGGCTTTGTTGAACAGCTCGCATCGGCGGCGCTTGACGTCGTTGAACTCGTCCCGCGCAGACTTGGATTCTTTGCGAGCCTGGTCTGCCTCGCGTTCCGTGTCGACCAGCTTGGCCTCAACGTCCTCCAACCGGTCAATCGCCTTCATGTTCGGCGCCATCTTCTCGATCTCCTCTGTGATTTTGGTAATCGCGGCGTCGAATTCCGCCAAAGAATTGGCAGAGCCGTCCTGCGACAGGTGAGCAAGACAGCCGATACCAGCGCGGCAGAGACAGCACACCTCGCGGTCTTCATCATCGAGCTGTGCAAAGTCGACCTCAATCCCGTAGTCAGCTACTCGTCGGGGCTGTTGAGTCCCGTCCTCGTCGTCATCTATGTCCATGGCAACCTCTTCGCGTAGATTCTAGAGCCATTCGGCACCTCGAACATGAGACACAGACACAGACACTCACCTCCTCCATTGGCACATTCTTCAAGTGGCCCTGAAGAAGCGGCAGCTTGATTTCGTCCAAACGGCACCTGCGGTAAATCGAGGACCGTTCTAATGCAGACTTCTCAATGTCGTCATTCTTCAGCGCGATCTCTTTCAAAGCCTGGTCAAGCGCTTTGCCAGACTTCGACCCCGTCTTCCTCGCCTGCTCTACAATCTTCGATTTCTCGTCCAACGCCTCCTGTGCACCAGCGAGCTGCTCTCGCAGCGAGGCGATCGTCTTCTCCAACTCGTCGATGACCGACTGCGCCTCTGCCTTCTCGGCCTCGTGCTGGTCGAGATTCGTCTTCTCCTTATCGACAGTCTTGTCCACGTTGGCTAGTCGTTCCATCAGCTGTTTCAGAACATCAGTCTCGTACTCGATTCTATCTCAGATCAATGACCAGTCACACGGAGTAGCAAAGCGACGCAACTGATGGGTCAATCGGGCCATCTGGTTTTCGAACCGCAGGCGGACCTCACTCTCTTCTTGCGCGACCTTCAGTTGACGTTCTTCGAACTCTCGGATGTTCTCCACTTCAATCTTGCGGCAAAACGCGGCAAATGTCGACTGTTCTGCCTGGTTGATTACATTCGACAATCGGGTGATCTGCGCCTCCAGGTTATCGTGCGTGATTTGGGTCTATGGTCGCGGGTCGATGAAAGTTAGATAGGACGTAGTGTCGAACGCACCTTTTCCAGCTCGGGGCTGTTCTTCTTCAGCTCCTTGTCGATATGCTTCAGCTCGTCGCGAATGCCGGTCAACCGGAGGTTGCATGCGTTCTACCGCATGTAATGAGAAGTAAACGAACAAAATTCGGATACCACACACCAGATCATCTTTCGCCAGTGTCAAGGCAGATTCAAGCTGAGAGATCTCAGCAAAGAGGTGATCGTCCGTCCTGACTCTCGTCTTCTGCTTAGCCAGATCGCGCAGCTGTGTCATCAAGTTGTCCCGAGCGCGTTGCAAGCCCGCCACGTCTTTCTCGTCCCACTTCTTACCACTGTTATGGCTGCTCTTTCCACCAGTAATCAATCCGCTCCGGTGGATGATCGTGCCCTCCAAAGTCACAGCTGGGTTGTCATCAGCAGTGAGCATGCGAGTATTAGCAGACCGCGGGCACCTTTCACCTCCTGCCCCTTGTCGTAACACACATAACGAGCAACATCCATAGTGTCGCACACCAGCGAATTCCCACAAACATGGTGCATCGCACGTTCCACCACCGGTTCGTACTGGATCACGTCAACGGCAAGTCGGGCGCCCTTGTGCAGCGCACGGAATTTGTCATTGATCGGCTTGGCCTGGATGGTATCCAAGGGAATGAACGTCGCTTGGCCAAGACGTTGATTGCGCAGGTACTACAGTAGCGCACCTTAGAATCCAATCAAGACCGAGGAGGAGACTCACCTCAATGCAATCGATCGCGACCTTCTCCGAGTCGACGACGATCGCATCAATGTTCCATCCCAGCACCACAGAAACAGCCGTTTCATACTTACGCTGGGAGGGCTTGCACAAGTCAACCACGCGACCGCGCACTCCGGTGAACAGCCGCTGGAGACTCGATAAAGTTTCTTTCAGCTTGATCTCCTTTTCAGACTCGTGCTTGTCCACGCCAGCTTGAACCAACTGATTGTAGATGTGCTGGAGCTGCTCGTTGCTTTGAGCTTCCAGTTGCGATATTTTGGTCCGCTCAGATTGTTGATTTTCAAGCTCTTGACGCGTCCGAGTCAAGTCCCTCTGCAGTTCGGAAACGCGGTCTTCCAACTGAACAAAGGTGAACACAGGGCAGCAATAGCGGACAGATGGTTCACCTCTTTCTTCCGAGAAGTCTGGCTCTGCTGATCAGCGAGGCGAGTTTCACGGTTCTCCGTTAGACCCTTTTGCTTCTCTTGGAGCTGAGAGAGGGTCCGGGAAAGGGTCTTGTGTTCGCGGGTAAGAGATTCAAGTGTCTGTCGCTCGTCGACGGCCAAAATACTGGCTGCAGCTTTCCTGCGAGCAGGCTATCAACTCGAGACAGCACAACAAGAATGGGCCTACAAGTTTCGATACTCAACCAAACTTTCCTCATTCAAAGCCAAATTGCGTTGGGAGGTTTTGCGTTGGGATTCTAGATAGTTCGATTAGGTACGCGAGCAGAGCTCAAGACTTCCAGATCCACGAGCGCACCTTGAGCAGCAGCCACTGCTTTCCTCACACTTGCAAGCTCCTTATCCCGGTTGCTGATCTTGTCCTCCTGGGTCTGTTTCTGACTGTCAAGCTCCCTCTTACTCTTGGATGCATTCTCCATCTTGCGTTTGGCGTGCGTAATCTGGGCTTCAGCGGTGACGAGGTCAGGACGCTTCGCATCAAGCTGCTTCTCCGCCTTCTTGATCTTCTTTTCGAGTTGCATGACACCAGAACGGGCCTTGGCCTGGTCAGCACGAGCTGACTCAAGCGCTCGGTCGTGCTCTCTTTGCTCTTCTCGCAATCCTTTGACAACCTTGTTCTGTTCTCGTATGTCGTGGGCGTTGGTTTCGATGGCTTCCTCGATGTGGAAGAGCTTATATAGCATGCGGTATAGGATGCGTTGGTCCTGGTTGTTCGGGTTAGTGAATGGGTAAGGGCAAGACGAAAGTGCACAAACTCGCTCCTGGCAAAGCGCATCGAACCTATCCGCCTCGCTCTTCTGCTCTTTGTATTGCTTGATCTCCCCCGCGATGCCACGACGTTTCGTGAAGTTGAAGGTCGCGTTCTCTGTCGCGCGGTCCAGTCCCTCTTTTGCCTTCTCATACTCCGGCGCCAGCTCCAAACTCCCGCTAATTTGCTCTATGAGGCGAGCCAGGTCTTTGGAAGATTGCGACGCGACGGCTTCGACGTCGCCTTGGAACACGAGGAAGTTCTTGGCTTTGACCAGGATATTGTGAGACTTGAGCGCGTCATTATACACGTTATATGTGACGACCTTTGTGTTGATCTTGTACTCGGACGCGCCCGTGGTAGATATTCTGAGAAAGGGTCAGAAAAGACTAGGAAAACCTGGTGAATAGAGCATTCTAACGTTCGCTGAAACCTCCACTCCTTTCCATCTGAGTCAACATATAGCGCCATGACCCAAGCTTTCTTCGCTGTGCCTTCCCCTTGACCCTCCTCGTCGTTCTCACCCTCCGCTACCTCATCCGCGACGTCCTCTTCACCATCTAGTCCGGCCTTGCCCAGACGCCTCCCACGGTACACGAGATCTTTGAGCTGGGAGCTCCGCAGCTGCGCGCTTTTGATACCGAGAACGAAGGAGATCGCGTCCATGAGGTTGGACTTGCCCGCACCATTAGGACCGATGATTGAAGTGAAGTTTTTGAATGGGCCGATCGTTTGGTGGCCGCGGTAGGACTTGAAGTCACAGAGCTCAATCTGGATGAGCGGCATCGCGCGTAGACCGACAGATGGGCAGCAGAGCCTCGGCCCTCTGCTTTAGTGGCGGTGACAGTGGACTTGAAAGTCTCAAGGGCGCGTCGGTCACAAAGTGTGTGCAGTCACGAGTCACGACAAGATCACGGTTTGCATTGCGTAATCTAGTCTCTCTTCCTCAACCGCCAAGCAGGTCGTGCGCAGTCGTCTGAAGGAAATAGCAAGACCAGCGGGGCTGGCGAAAAAGTGCTCTGTGCCGCAGGTCTTAACTCTGGGTTACGCTATCATAATCTCAGCCTATCTGCCGCCATCAGGCAACCATGCACTTCTCGGTCTCAATGCTCTTCGGCTACTTGTCTTGTCAACTCCTACACTCCCGCCCGTCAAGTCCTGACTCCCGAGCCTGACACCTGCTAGTTGTCTCTCAGTTTTATTCGTCTGAAGAACACCTGCTATCTGACCGCAAAGACAGTCTGGCTTTGCATGCATAGTCAGTCCTCTGATCATGCGGCGGCACTGAGCATAGTGTTTGGTGGCTTTGCTAAATCGAGCCTTTGTATTCTTGGATCAAATTCCGGGATGCCGAAGGCTAAGCGCGGACGGGCGGATTCTCCGAATCTGAGAACTGCTACTTCAGCCCGTCGTCCTCGCTGCTTTTGCATGTTGGCCCCCGTTCATCCCGTCATTTGAGTCATACAGCACGCCAGTCTAAGTTCACGGACCGTGGAGCTTGGTCAATGACTCAAATCTGCCAAGAACAGCTCGTCTTCGAAGTGTCGGATCTCGGCGCACGCAGGAATGCCTCCAATCTCGCTGTGTAATCGGTCTTTCGCACATGTAAAGGGCTATGATATCTTATGAAACGTTGTGGAGCTGGATGCGACGAGAATTGTTCAGACCTCTGGTCAAACCTCCTCTCGCGAGCGATTCATGTTACCGTTTCAATGTTCTTTTGTAGTTGTGAGCTTACCCGAGTGTCGTGATTACGGAGATATCTTTGCTGATGAATGCGTAAGACATACAAGAGATCTTCCAACTTGAATGGTCCTGCCGCGGCACGGCACCAGCATGGTATGTACATATAATTAGCCCCAGATTTCTCTCGGCGATGTGGTGTTAATTGATGCGAGAGGCTGTCACAGGGTGACGGGCGAAAGGCAGGCTCTTCTGCTTTCACTGGCCCTCAGGCTCTTGTTCTTCCCGCTCTCAAAACGATGTGCTCTGCGCTTGTCGCGCGACCAGTTGTTTTGCCACTGCGCTGACACGGCTGCGGCTGCCATTCGTCACTCGACCGTTCACTCAGCGAGACAAAGCAAGACCACAAAGCATCCACAGAAGGGGTCGGGAGTAGATGGCTTGGTAGACATGTTTGGAGACTCGCTCTCGACTTGACTGGTGTGTGGGTACGGTGCTTTGTGTCTCTTCCATTGTGCCCTTGACGATGCCTGATTCATGCATTGTCTATGCCGAGATGCCGAGGCTGGTCCGTGCACGAGCGGGGCTGTTTACGTTTGTGTACAAGTTTACTTGCCCTCTTCCATCACTTCACGGTGAAATACACATACGATCGACCGCCCCCTTTTCCTACCCCGAGTATCGGCAGGCCCAGTCTCCGCACCAGCGCCGCTGCCGCGCTTCCCCTCCGTATCCCCATGTCCTACGCTGTTCCCCGACCCCCTCCCGCCGACGAAAGCTTGCTGAATAAGTCGCTTCTGGATCAGTTGGACGCTCAAGCCGACGCGGAGCCCGTTTCGTCCTCCGCCTCGGACGATTCATCTCACGACTCTCCTCATCCTCCCTTCCACACCCCCACCCACACACAAGATCTACAAGCCTCCAAAATGGCTGCATACTTCCCGCGCGCATCGTTTACTTCCTTCCCAAACTCGACCCGCGCTCCCGGCCCCCGTGCTCCGTTTCGCGACCAACAGCCGGTAAACGGGCCGCAGTACTACCCTCAACAGACCGAGGCTTTCTCCCCCGTCCTCCACCCATTCGACCCTCGGGCCAGCTTCGATTTTGGCGGTACTGCAAAGCCCGGAGCGTATCCACCGTTGGAATTCGGCTCTCCACCGCCTTCACACCAAACTGCGCCCAAGCTCAACGGTTATGCTGCGCCGTATGTCAACGGCAGTGCTGGAATGCATTCACAGACCCCGTATGGACCTCACATCACATCTGTCTCCATGGGGGGGATAAACGGTGCAGGGATTCCACCGCATTCTCTGGCCAATCCGCCGCATGAAGACATCTGCACGATATTTGTCGTAGGCTTCCCAGAGGATATGCAGGTCAGTTACACCATTTGAGCTCCCATCATTGGCCACGTACGGGTGACTGCAGAGGCTGCGTCTCTCCGTCCCGTCTAATCATCACTTCATCATCAGTTTTGCTAACAAGCACCCCTTTCCCAGGAACGTGAATTTCAGAACATGTTTACTTTCTCGCCTGGTTTCGAAGCCGCCACCTTGAAGATTCCGAACAAGGAATACACCGCTTACGGCGCTCAGCAACAGCGCGCTCTCGGTGGTGCTGGCCAGTACAACGGTTACGCCGGTTCTAACGATCCCTACAATCTCGTGACGGTCAATCAAGGAGGTGTTGTGGTCGATGGGCAGAACGGGATCACGTCCTGGCCGGCACCGCCCGCTGATGAGATGGGACCTCAGTCTGGACTTTCTCAAGCCGGCTCTCAGGGCCTGTCGGGCAATCATTTTAGTGGCTCTGTTGCCCCCCGCAAGCAGATAATCGGTTTCGCCAAGTTCCGAACTCGCGAAGAAGCATTAGGCGCTCGTGATGTTCTGCAGGGACGGCGTGTCGATATCGACAAAGGTGCCGTCTTGAAGGCCGAGATGGCCAAGAAGAACTTGCATACGAAGAGAGGTGTAGGACCTGTTGGCGTTGGAGGTTCAGGGCTTGTGATCAATGGGATGGGATCAAGCCTTGGGATGGGTGTTTCAAACGACATCTACGATCAGCTCAGCCCGCGCGATCCTCTGACACTGGGCATGAACGGAATCTCTCCGAATGCGGCTGCTGCATTCGCGAACGGGCGTATGGGCTGGCGAAGCGACGATGATGACGAACCCCTGATGCTCCACGAGGAACGGCGACAATCTGTTCTGAACACCCTATCACTTCGTGCTCGGCCGGACGACGATCGCCCTCGTTTGCAGGATGACTCTGAAGCAGAGCGATTGCGACGGCGAGATCGAGATCGGCGTCAAGGAGCTTTCGAAGCTTTTGCTGCTCTGCGCGATGAGAACAGCGGCAATCATGGCCCATGGGACGCCGTTGCAGGCGGTATTCCCGGGCGCCGGTCGACGTCTCCTGACACCACTCCGAACACGAACAACTTCTACGTGAACGGCGGAGGCCCATTCGCTGGCGAAGGCCCGCGAGCGTTGTCCTCGCCGCCACCCTCCAATGAGTTTGGCGCGCCACAGTATATGGGAGAAACTCAGCCCACCCATCGGCAGGAGCGGTCCCAGTCCAGTGCATCGGAGGGTAGCAGCGATCTTGAACGTGGGATGGCGAAGCTAGGGGCCACAAATGCCCCGATCAGTATCCCTGGCAGTTCCAACGGCAGCGCCAGCGGTGGCAGCAACGGAGGATCACCCCAACTTGCCTCGCCAGCCAGTTCAGGCAGCTTGGGCCGCGGTGTTGTTGATCAGAATCCGCCGATCAATACACTTTACGTTGGGAACCTGCCTGTCTTGCCCAATGCGTCGTCCGGCGCCGCCGGGTTCACGATGGAATATCTCGAGGTCGCATTGCGGGATCTGTTCACGCAGTGTGCGGGATTCAGACAGATGTCGTTCAGGCCGAAACCGAATGGCCCGATGTGTTTTGTCGAGGTGTGTAGCATCACGATTTCTGATAACTGCCGCTGACCGTGCTCCGTAGTTTGAGGATGTGAACTATGCTACCAAGACGCTCAATGAGTTGTACGGGAATACTCTCAACGGCATGATCAAGGGCGGAGGGATCCGCCTGTCGTACAGCAAGAACCCTCTTGGGGTACGGACGCCTACCAGCGCCAACGGGGCCCCTGTCTCTCTAGCCACTCAACAGGGCATCTCCGAGGCAGCGTTCCACCCGAGGCTGACGTCACCGCCGCCACCTACTCAAGAGTATGGTGTGGCATCGTTCTCTGCCCCTCGCTTTTTTGCTGCGTCGACGGACGGGCCCTGGTCTCGTCGGTGGGAAGCGCCGCGATCAGCCTTCTCACCCTTCTCCAATTCGCCCACGGTCGAGGGCGAGACGACATCATAGCCGCTAGAGGCCGTCTTTATCTTATAGCATCAACACTCACACACACACACTCATCCTATCCATCATCGCGCAAATCGCACTGTGTATTATCTGCTTCGCATGTTGTTACCGTGTTTCTTGGTGCTGTTGTTCTGATGTCACGCTGTTCTGCTCATGTGTCACTTATATCCATCCCATCATACCAAGCACCCCACCCTCCCCTCATTTATCTATCATACATATCTATGCCCTATCTTACTTATCCTCATGACCATCCAGCACACACACTCACGCAATTCAAACTACCTTATCTCACGAGCAGTTATCTGTATAGCCACTATATTTCGTTCAGATCCTTCTCTTTTCTCCCCCTTCCTTTCTGCACAGTGCATGCGAGATTGTTGTAGACTCGGCGGAAGTTATCTACTTGTATGTATAGCAATGAATTTCCCACTTCATGTCTAAATCCCTCGTACTCTCGTTGAATGAAGATCCAAGCCAATGGGGTACATTTCGGACGACGAACTGAATGCATCTTACAACCGGATGCGCGTCCAGAGTGAGATGAGGCACAAACAGTCCCAGAGCAGTCGAAGCCCTCCGAAGATCCATCTCTGTTCTGTGGTTCAATCCACTCAATCCGCAAGCTGGGGCAGATATCTCGTCCTGCTCTGGCCATTGAACAAGTGACCATCCAGCGGACTTTAGACATGATCGTCGTGTGCACACTCAGCTCGACCGGAGGCTCGAGCCGGGGAAGCGCACTTGTGAAGCCCAAGCGCTGAGTCTGTCTTGGATGTGCAGGGAAGGGACACAGAGGGGAGGGAGTCTCTCAGTCTCTCAGCTGATGGGGTGTCTACGCAGGGAGACCTACCGTTCGAGAAAGGGCATCGACTTCGCCGGCATCTCCGATTTGTCTGAATGCCGGAGAGCAGGCAGGGGTAAGAGCCGCCGAGACGCCACCGAAGTACCCGGGTAGTAACGCGACCGGTACAATCAGCATCTGCAGGTTGGGTGGCGTGTATGACGGGCGGGCGTTGCTGGGCGAATACGGGTGCCGCCAGCACACGTCGCGTCGATAAGCTTCGGTGCGTAAGAGAGCATGCTGCGTGTGCCGTCCCTGGATAGGAATGCGAACTTGGTCAGTTGCTGGCACGGCAACAGAACGTCCGGCGCCCGAGAAGCGTCTATGAGCTTCGAAGTTCACGTTCAAGGCTGGGGTAAGCAGCGCTGCGGCCGAAAAAACATCCAGTGGGCAGTCTATAGGGTCCGGAGATGCGATCGCGAGGTCTTTCAGCTGGGCAAGGGCAAGGGCAAGGGCAAGGTCTCGTACACTCAGCTCCGTCCGCTCGTCGAGACCGAGCTGGAGCGCGAAGATGGCACCACCTGTCAGCGTAGTGGCTCATTATAGATCGGACACAGTTACCAGACCAGGGAGAACTGTGCTGCTGCTCGAAGAGAATCGTCGCGCACGGATTATCATAATAAGCACTGCGCTGCCGACGAAAGTCTGCGTGAAAGCTTTCCCTTGCTCAGGATCGAAGAACTTCAGGGAGGGGACGAGCGATATTACCCGCATACACGGATCCATGGTTCAGGTGTGTCGATCGCGATGCTCCTCCACAAACGGCATATTCAGAGAAGGCTGAATGGGGTCTGGGGTCTGGGGTGTGCGACCATCGCTGCTGCGAGTGGAATGATGGGATTTGGGGAAAAGATATCGTCCGGTGTTAAGAGACATTGCATCGCTGTCTCCCTGAGGAGTGCCCATATCGGGGGACCATGGATGCGGTCGCAGTAGCAGTCAGGACTCGGGAGCGTCATGAGCTATGGCGCTGCGGCATGTGATCCGATCAATCAAACCTCTCACACTCCATTGAACTTGGGTGTGAACGGCCATCGTGACGGTCTCCACGATTAAGCTCTTGTGACCTACCTACCCCTCCTCCCAAGGGGCAACGGACCCAATTCTACCGGCTATTGCTCCTATCACCCCCATCTAATGCAGTCGACCCACGCCCAGAGCGCACATCATCGCTCTCATCTTGCATGGATGTTCCATAATCCGAAAACACAAGAAGTGAACAGATTCTCTGTAGAACTCTGCCAGGCTCGAGTCCTGCCTAGAACACATACTCTCCCGTCGACTGTCCATCACTCGGGCTGCTCCGGACATTCAATCAGTCCAGAGCTAGAACCAGGCCCCTCCCGTGGCAGCTCAGAGTATGCTGCGGGGAATGAAGTGTCTCTGCAACTGTATGCGAGCACGATTCTCTCGAAAGCATCCGTTTACGAGCCGATTGGAGCGAGCTTTCTCTACTGTCCGCATCCCATCGAAGCAGAGGTCCTCTGAAATTCGAAGCAGACCCGATTTCTCATATAAGCGCATTCAGCGGGTGTGCGATGGATCGCCTTACCCGACATGAGCTCGTCTCAAATACCGGCACTGACATTGAACGAGCTCGAGCAGCTCTTTGTCCTCATCAGTGATGCTCAGCTCACCAATCATCTCGCAGGTGCGTTCAGATCGTTGGACGATGTTTTCTCCCCCATCCTCAATTTTCCTCAGTCGCCTCACTGGCACTGACTCTGTGAGTTTCGGAAAAAAAAACGCCCTTCCATCCTCAACGTACTGAACAGACCCTCAGACTCGAACACATCTCGACTTTGAGAGAAGAGGTCGATATGGTTCAAATCGCATTTAGCCGCTGTTCACTGACCGCTTGAAGATCGAACTCGTCTGGAAAAGTCGGTGGAATTTGTCAAGTATATTCTACGTGAGTTTTATTTATCGGCAGTCAACTCGGTGTTTTTCCCCTGACCACTGTTGCAGATATGGGTGCGTTTTTGACCTTTCCCACCATCGACTCAATCAAAGTTGAAGCGCATCGAGATTCGATACTTCGGTCTGATCGTATTTGTGTAAATCACGTCCTCCCTGACATCTCAACCGAGCAAATGGCTGACGGAAACTTCAGGCCGAATCTTCTCAGTAATTGCGTTTTCTTCGCGCGCTGTTTCGCGTGAATGACGCTGCTACCTAGTGATGCTTCGCCCGCCACAGTCGGACAAAGTGCGTTTCGGACCAACTCTCCTGTTTGACTTCCTGACTTGACGACAGACGTGCGAATATTTGCATTGTACCCAGCGGACAGCTTATTAACCATGTCGATCTAGCTGTCGAGCCTTCCTTCTCGTGGGGCTTATTTCGAGAGTCTTCTGGTCAATCACTGAAACAAGTCTAGGCTCAATCAGTGACTTCGACGACGATAGTGGTCTCCACCGATGTGATTCTTGCATTACGGTACGCCCATCCCACGCGAAGGCTGTTTTCTAATCATGAATCAAATTTCTCTGTAGCGTCTGGATCCTTTTCGCGCGTCCATCGCGAATGATTGGCTTCTTCGTGGGGTTAATTGTCGGTGCGTTAATTCGGTTGCATTCGTCTGCGCTCGCACTGCGCTGAGCCAAGGCAGCGGAATTTGCTGCTCTGTAAGTGCCGCCTTTTTGTGTTCTACAGTTCGTTCAGCCCTGTCGGTTCAAGCTTGGTTGTCGGTGTCTACACTATCAGAGACCTTGGCGGTTCGTTTTTTGGGTCTCATCTCTCCCGCGCGAATTCAATGAATGGAAACCAGTGTTTATCCAGATCGAGTGGGTGGCTTTCAGTTTGGCGCGTTTGATGTCCGAAAGATTGACTGCTTTCAAGTCCATTGCATGGATGCTATACTGTCAGTAAGTCGCTGCTACCGTTCGACGAATGATGACTTTGGCTGATGATTGTTTGTCATAGTAGTCCCGCGAACGCTCGCATACTATGCCCTCCCCCCCTTCATCGTCGTGAGTTTGAGCCGCTGTTGATCCTTGGCATGCATTTCACACTATGCGGAAAGTCCTCCTGTATGTTCGCAATGACGCTTTACAAGTGCCGCGACACGGCGATGTCACCGGGTCTCATCAAGACACCCGTCATACAGATATTCCTCAGAGACGGGAGTTATTGGTTTCTGGCCGTGCTGCGTGAGAAGTGTCCCGTGCGCGCATTTTCATGCTATTCGCTAACTTCTGACTGTAGTTTTGTCGTTGTCTGAACTGCTCATCTGGCATAACGCACGTCCCAGTCTCGCCCAGATTCCGATTGTGTGAGTGTGGACTGTCTAATTTACATTTGCCTCTCGTTGCTAATTGGTACCGCTGGTAGCCCGGGAACGGCGTGCGCATCCCTCTTGACGGCCCGCGTTTCTGAATCAACTCACCGGTTCTAGGTGCATTGCAATCATTGGTGCCCGCGTCGTTCTCAACATCAAGAACCTAGCCCGGACCAACAACGGGAGGGACTCGAGTCAAACTTTGACACAGACGTCGGTCATGTGGTATCATCCGAGGATGCCGACCCGCCCGAAGATCGAGACCACGCCTTGGTATCTCAGGACGAATTGAGGAAGTCGCCGATTTATTCACGGGGCACATTAATGTCCGATGTAGAGTCAGGTGATGGTTCGGAATTTATACCTAAAACTAAGAGTTAAGTCAAGTGTAACAAGAGGCAACAAGCCGGTAACGAGAAAACAGAGACATGTCATTGGCGAAACGTGACAGGCCCGACGGGAGAGAGTGATGCGAGCGGCCACGGGTCTGTGGTTCCCATGGCATGTGGGCGGCCCGCAGGCCCAAAGATTGGCCAATTGGCATGACCTCAAGCGAGGGTGACGAGTGGAATCTCTCCGTTCACTCTCTTCACACGGGTGCCGGCTTGGCTATTATACTTGAGGTCTGCGTGTCTATTCTTACCTCGTGCGCAGTCTGACCACCGGCGAGTTTGGCGAGCAGGATCCCTCGCTTGCTATTCTTTAAGAGAGCCGATGAGAGCAACGCCAGCCCCGGCCGTCCCTTTCTTGTGCTCACGCGGGCACATTTTCGCGCGCAGTTGGAATAATAGTCGGTGGTGGCTAGACTACGTTCAGCAAAGAACTTGGACACGTGGATGTGTCTCCACGTGAATAACTTCTATTGTCGTGTATTGTTTGGCCCCCTTCCCCGAGTATTTGAGCGATTCTCGAGCGTCATCTTCCGTTCCCCCCGCTGCATCCGCCTGCGACAATACATCGTTTTCTGTCATCTGCCCGGTGTCCTGCGCACCCCCTTTCGCGCTACGCTTATTCTCATCTTGCCCCACTCGCTTTTGCCTAGGAACACGGCTCACAATGCCTTCGTTACCTCTACTGGTGATGTGGAAGAAAAACTAGACGCCCTTGGTCCACGCTTGAATGTCCAGCTGCATGCAGCTCGTCTATGGCCATTCGAGTACTAAGCCGAGTGCACAATCTGTATTATAAAGACCGTCCAATGTATCCTTGCTATCCAATGCATATCCCGTATCCGACGCAACTTATTAATATTTGAACCTCGCCGATTCCGCGTTTCCGGCCAGATGGAAATCAGCACGGCCGAATGGCCCAACAGCTCGCTCGCGAGCTGTAATACAACCGCTGCGCAGCTTTTAGAGAGTGACGCCAGCGTGAGAAATAGTGATATATATTACAAGAATGGCACGACGTGTCCATCCCCACTCGAACTCGGCTTTTCCCTTTCCCATCCATCTTTCACGCACCGTCTTCTCACACTCACTCTCTCTCCTTTCCTCCACCATGTCTGAAAAAATTATCACCGTCGATGAGTTCCGCGCACACACGAGCAAGGACAGCTTCTACGTGCTCATCCACGGCAAGGGTGCGTCCCCGCGTCCAATCACACGCCTCCGGTTTCTCATCCCGGTGTAAATCACCATCCGTGCAGTCTACGACGCGACCAAGTTCCTCGACGAGGTGAGTCGGCGCTTCCCTGTCCCATGCCAGCGCACCGGCTGACACGAGGCGGCCACCACCAGCACCCTGGAGGAGACGAGGTCATTCTCGCTGAGAAAGGTGCGTGCCGCTGCTTCCTTCGGTCCTTGCCCGAACCGCGGCTCATCGGAGTACCCACAGGCAAGGATGCCACGGAAGCGTTCGAGGACGTAGGCCACTCAGACGAGGCCCGGGAGCTGCTCCTCCCCATGCTTATCGGCTCCCTGGAGCCCAACAGCGTACGTCCATCCACCTCGTCCAGTCTGGTGTCTGTGCGCGGCACTCACCCAACCTACACACGCAGGTGCTCGGACGTCCGTCTCCCTCATCTGGGGGCTCGAAAAGTGGTGGCTCGGGCTCGATGGTGGAGCAGGGTTCCAGGTGCGTGCGCCCACTGGCGATCGGCCGTCCCCGTTTCAGGCGGAGCTGATCATGTCCCCACTAGTCTTTTCACCTGGGCTCCGGTCGTTCTCCTAGCGGCCTGGTTCGGATACCGGTACTACACGACGGGAGCACCGTATTAATCGCTGTTGTTTGCTGTTACTGCTACCACCATCCGCTTACACCCCTCATACATCTGCTCGTCCAATTCGCTTCTGCGGTACTACTGCGCGCGGAAATAGAAGTTCTGCATTTGATATCCATCCTACCGTGCTGACAGATCCTTGGCGTCGTAAGCGGGCCGACACGACCGGCGTGCCGACACGTTGCTGAAAGGCCTGCGATAGCATGTATGTATTCTGGCATTCGAGATTGTGCTTAAGCCCGCGCTGTTCCGGAGGAATGTCGGTCCGACCTCTCGAACGCCGGGATCTCGGTGTCGTGGGGTGCGACTGTGACGACTTCCTTGATGTTCAAGAGCACTCGCGCCCCGATGAGAGCCATGATCGAAGTCGGCGGACTGCGCGCAATCATCAGCCTACTGTGCGCGGGACAGGGAAGGGTCGTTGCGTCACCCACATGACCGGAATTTCTGACAGACTGGCCCGGGAGTCTCGCCATAGCACGATCTCGACGGTGTTGACCACTGGAAGATGAGGTCATGATCCCGGCTGATACGACGGACTACCTGCACGAGATGATAACGCACGGATCGCCGCGAGAAACCAGAAGACTCCGTCCCTCAGAAACAGAGACATCACAGATGTCTGGCGCCAGCCGAGAGAGCGGCATCTGAGCAAGGTCATGGCGAACATGATGATGCTCTGTGGGTTGCGTCAGAGTGAGATCTGATCGGCCGAGGGCGACGGTCCCGCACGACTATGTATGTCGGAAGCGCGTAATAGGTGAACAGCCGCGGGACCTCTGTGTGAACGCGTGAGATTCAGGGTGTTTCGTGACGAGAAAGACGAAGGACCCAGGGAATAGCAGCCTTGGAGAGCCGGTCTTGGACAGATATGAGATGAGATTCAAGGATCGATATCAAAGGAAGTGAGAAGCGGACCCAACGAAAACGTATGCTGTACAGCACTTAGTGGCCGGTCCTTGAATGAAACGGAAGAGGACACACTGTCGAGTGGCTGGATAGCATAACACCCTGATAAGGCCCTAGAACAGGTCAAACACCCGAACGGACTAGCAAGATCGTCCAGCATACATTGCTGTTGCCTCGGCTAGAACAGTTGCACTGTAAGCGTCTCGCTCTTGTCACGGCATAGAATGTACTTGCCAGTGACGAGACCGACGAGAAAGTACAGCACCTTGCGCGATCTGTGGTACAATAGCCACACCCTGAATCGCGGTCAACACACAAAGTCGGGGGTTAACCGATCTTACAGACCGGAGGGCAAGAATGATATCAGTCAAGACGAGGATCAGGGTCGACGATGCGAGCTCTACCTAATGGGCGGTCGATAATGGAGCGCCTGAGAAGTGGCAAACTCACAAATACAATTGTTTGGCAGCTTAAGACGTCAAGCGTGGTGAATGGAGAGTCAAATGCCGGACCCACAACTACACGCCAGTGTTCAGTGTATGGATTATACCATTGCTTATCGACACTGCTTACCTTGTCCGAGTTTTAGGAGCGTAGCATGACTGCGAAACGGTGTAAGAAAGGACGAGAAATTCATCGGATGGCATACATGACACGTCCACGCTGCCACAAGATGAGCGTTCCAGGTTGGTTCAAGGATGAGATCACGTACCCGATGGCCACCAGAGTGAAATAGCGGATCTACACAACTTACATATCGCTTGAGGGAGCGTAAGAATGAATACACAAGGCAACTGACAATGACCTGCCAAAGTGCCAAGGTCAGTCTCGGCAGCCACGGCACAGCGAGTGACCTACATAAAAGACATTCGCTGGACTGAGTCGGGTGTTCCAGATCAGCCGAATCTGGAGTTGAGGCGTCGTTGAGGTGCGGAAACACACAAATCAGGAGAAACATACCTCCTCTTCGAAAGTGGATACATGCTCAAGACTGGTCGACGCGCACCGTTAGTCCTTTTTCATCCAACGAGGGAAGGAAATCGCCGTACAGCACGACAGTCAGCATGGCCACTACGTTAACGGTCAAAATCAGAACAGGAAGCTCGCAGATGTTCGGTCACCTGAGACGTCGTTCGTGGTGCGTGCATCGCGTATAAGAGGGATGAGTCGTTCGACGTCCTGTGCGGGGTCCATGATCGAGGCAAGTTGCATCCGATCGGCTCTTCCTTTTGTCTTATGAACGCGAGCTTTGTTTAGATGTCACAGATGCCTGCCCGAGCATCTTCAAACAACAACAGAGCGGGGAGTGATCATGACATCGCGATTGCCCCCACGTCCATTTCTCCTGCCGGCCACTCACTCGTATTTGTCGTGAGGTGCATCCGGTATGAAGTCGTCGTTGCGATACAGAGTATGAGCGAAAGCGGGGACCATTTCAAACACTGGGATTGCGAGCGGGTGGAGCTCTCCACCCATGCTGAGGAAGACCGGCAAGGTATCGGACACACATCAGCGTTCACACACACACGCGTTCTGATGGCAGTGTCACCGGCAAACATCCCCGAGGAAAAACCGCTCATGGATCTATAGCGAAAGACTGAGGGACACGGCAAGCGCGGGAGCCTTCAGTCGGGATAAACTGATCGTAGGCGACCTGCGAGCCTTGCAGCACGATGACGATACTTAACACTAGGAGTTGAAGGACTGAGATGCATCTGAGAGCGCCACAGAAGCCTGGCTGATGCTCCACTGGGGCAATCCAAAGGTGAGAGCAAAAGAGCAATGATCATGAGCAAACCACAGTGGTCACGTGCAAGTGTCAATCTGGAGTTGAAGTAACTGAAGTACTTCCACTTCGGTAGGCCGTGAATGTCGCTGTCCTGACTCTGCTTTAGAAGATAACAGATGAAATCAATCCTGACAATGGCAAGGTCTGACATTTCTTGCTGCGAATGAGGCGGCAGCAAACGTCTAACATGTCTATTGTCGTGGTAATATTGGCTAACCACTGGACGAATCTCGAGTCTGTCTTTCTGGCCTTTATTTCGAAAAATCATTTGGGGCGCTTCCTGGTGAAATTAAGGAAGCTGTGTCTCTGGTGCGTAAAAGGGATAATCGGTGAAACCCCTCGGGTCGGATACGCCATCGAGGTAGAACGTGTCCCGGTCGTACGGATTCAGAGGGTAGTCGTGCATCAATCGGGAGGCCAAGTCGGGCTGACCGCATTATCAGTGCGAAGCCCTGATCAATCCAACAAAACCCACATTCGCGATGAACAGTCTCCCGAAGGCTATCAGCTCGCCTTTCTCGCCGTCCAGGATGGCTGAGTCCCGCTTATATCCGCCGGCAGAGATGAGCCGCCGCGATTCGGATGCCCAGATCTCCCGGATGAAGTCGTTGCTGATGTCTTCCGAGAGCGTGTCGTCGTCGAGGACATCCTCTCCTACGGATCGCGGCTCGACGGCGTGGATGAAGGCCAAGTCGGGATGCCGCGCTTTGATCTGCTCAAGGAGGTACGAGAAGGTGGGTTTGGGGTCCTTCATCCGCATGTCTGCGAGCCAATTCAGCATGGAAGTCTGTTCGGAGTGCAATAGAATCACCTTGGTAATTGTTCCAGGGACTAATTCGAAAGCCCGTTTTCTTCGGTCCAACAGCGGCGACTACAGCATCGATGACCTCCAGTGCGAATCGAGTCCGGTTCTCGATGCTCCCTCCGTACTCGTCCGAGCGCACGTTGCTCACATCCTGCGTGAACTGGTCGATCAAGTACCCGTTCGCGCCGTGCACCTCGACCCCGTCGAAGCCAGCGTCCTCAACAGCGTATTTCGCCGCTCGTGCGTACAGCTCTAGGTACTCGGCGATCTCGGTCGTCGACAGCGGGCGAGGTTTGATTTCGTCCGCGGGCCGGTAGCTGAGCGGGATGTCGGATGCAGACACGTGGGCATTCTTGCCCAGAGTGGCTGGCTGGGCTGCTCGACCGTGTGCCCAGAGTTGCATGTAGATAAACGAGCCCTGCGCGTGCACGGCGTCTACGATCTGATATGAAATTACACGTCGTCCTCCCGTAGCACCGTTTCGGGACGCACTTCTTTCCACGCTGCGATGTGAGCCTTCGACCATAGACCAGGAGCATGGGGGTATCCGGCAGCGCGTTCGTCGATGAACATGGCCTCTGAAATAATGAGCGTCCCTGGTTGTGAGGCCCGCTGGACGTAGTATTCCTTCACGAGCTTGAGAGGAACGCGGTCGGAGTCGGAGCTGTAGCGCGTCAATGGAGCCATCACGATGCGATGCTTGAGCTGCATTTCGCCGACAGAGACCGGCTGGAATAACTGAGGCACTGGGAGAGACATGTTGAACAAGGGAGAACTTGGGACTGAAGGTCTTTCTTGCTTCCAGGCGTATTTATTTGGATCCTCGCTGGTCAGCTGTACGCAACACCACAAGGGGTCATTACCAAGACAGAGGGATTCAATTTCCCATCCATTGCGGAAGCGAGCCAGTTTGCCGCTGGTGGGACAATTGTAAGCGCTACTTGGAACTGAATCGTACTTTACCACAGCCGTCATGGACGATAGCTTGAGTTCAGCCCGAACTAACTCGTAATGCTCGTTTGAGGGTCTGTCGATTGGTGCGTTCGAATAACCGATGAGTCAACGAAATAACGATAGCCTGAGCCATCGGTGGCGTCTTAACTTCTCAACTAGGTACTAATCAGTAGAGCGGAATTCCAACTCACATCACGTAGCTCGGTCCCTCCCAGACGTAAAGAAGTGCGATATGGGCCTTTCTAAGCTAAATTTACCCTTGAACCACAGGATTATCTCCACTTTCAACGGCTTTGATGGAAACATCCAACATTGTGGCGAACAAATCCCGCTGAAAATCACGCGTCCAACATTTTCTCGATCGCTCGGTCTCGCTCCTCCTCAGACAGGCCTGCTTTGGATCTCCTTCGGGCCAGTTCAGCCCTTGTTCTATGATGAACCACGTCCAGCAGTGGCGCCCGAGCGACAAAAGCAGTACAGTATGACTGTTGGAAAACTGGGTCGGTAATCTCTCCTTACTCGACGGGCCGGATACATCAGCAGAATTTGAATAAGCGATGTAGATTCGTGCGACAGTCAAGTGCCAATTGGAGATGGCCTTTCACCATCGCTGACCGATAGAGATCTGGATTATGCACAGTGCATCTGGGCACATGCAAAATCTTTGCATCCTGCTGCGCACGAAACGATCCCGTAGTTCACGTGGCTGATCGTGTACGCACGGATCGCCAGGGACGGGGTGGTCGCTGGTTAATGCGCGCGCCTCAATTCCCTCCTCCTTGCGGGAAGCCAGGCGTCATCCAAGCACAAGTAGCACTTACCCTGCTCTTTGAGAGCACCACCATTGGCGCGTTGAATAAATACCAAGCGCAAACTCTTCCCGTTTCAAGACCGGAGTATTTTCGGAGAAATAGATTCATTACATAAGGCGCGGGTATCCAGTTCAAAAATACAGCCACGGATGGGGTGCAGCGTGCTGCGCCCATCACTTCCAGCTCTTGTTAACGACCCACGGGTGACTGCTATCCTCCTCGGCAACATCGCGCCAAGTCCCGTGCGTTCGGATCTGCGACCGCGGTCCCCCTGAGAACGTCACTCTTGCTGCGCTGTCGGCAGGAGCCGAAGCCGAGGAGGTGCTGTACAGGCTGCGGTGGTTGAGCGGAGCAGCCAGGCTCTTGATGTTCAGCAACACGCGAGCGCCAATCACAGAGACCAGTCTGCAGGGCACCGGCGATGAGCTGATCTGACTTGGAATTGTTGAAGGGGATACGTACGCGGTGGCGGGCCTAGTTGCAGAATATCAGCAAAAGCTGACCACTGAAGAAGGATTCAAATCTTACACGATAGGAGCTTCTACCAGCGTCGGCCGTCCGCCATGCCACAGAATCAGCTTCGTGACCGCAAGAGCTGAGATCGGGGCGATTGTAATCAGATTAGATTAGATTCGACACCCTGAAATCGAACACGACTGACCCAATACGGCAAGAAACCAGAACAGCCCGTCGCGCAAGAAGATGGCGACGATCGGCGTGCGCCCGATGCCCACATCCCTCAGGGTGAGTGACGAAGCGCGGCACTTGTACAGCGTCATCGCGAACATCATAATCGACTGCACTTCTAATCAGGGTTGCGGTAACATGGGCTGGAGGTGCGGCCGTACCAGAACTAGCTCAGGCAATGCGTAGTATGTCAGGATCCGGTGGTTGGCTTGAGAGTGTGGATGTGAGCATGGGAGAGTAACGCCTCGAGCTGGACTTTAGCGCACCTGGCGAGTAACATCCAGGTAGTAGAGGTCTGTCACAACCAGGGAGATGAGACCAAAGCTTCGGCAATCGATGCAAACGAACCCAAGGTGGATGAATTCTGTGAGAGCGGCATCAGTTGATTCCACACCACTGGAGCGAAAAGCTCTTACCTGTTAGTGGCTCGACTGTGTGATATCCCGTGTAGATACTGAGCAACCAGTTAGTTGATCAGCAAGGCTGTCATGGCCTGTGATCAACGACCCACAAGACAGTGGTTTCCGCTGAGAAGAAATTGAGTCCAAACCTCACTGGCAGGGATTCAAACAAACCGAGCATCAGAAATGAAAAGAAATATAGCAAGGTCCGGGATCGGCGATACAGAATCCACACCCTGTTCCCGACGTACGTCAGATCCTCAACCCCTCCACGGTGCATTCTCTGAAGACCTACCGTAAAGCTAGGATGCAATCCGACGTAACCACAATCACCGAGGAGCCTGCGAATTGAGCCTGCGGAATGATAAGCGCCTCTGCCCAGTGGAAAGCGGAGACTAACAACATACATACAAGAGAGCCTGGCATCTGATTCCAACGCCCATCAGACAAAGAACCCATACCACGCGCCGCTTACGTCTGCACACATGAGCCGGATAACGAGAAAGACCAGGGGAGGCGACAGACTTTATCCTTGGTGTGTACAGCGAGCAGTGCTAGCCCGGACGAGTGAGCTTCCGCTGCTTGCCGTCAAGGAGTCGCACCCACTGTACATTTCAACCCTGCGGCGGGTAATCAGCACGCGCGGAAACGAAGTGGACGTATCTCACGTTACAGCGACGAGGCTGAAATAGCGGATCTGGAACTGTCGTAAGCACAGTGCTGAGACAACGCGAACGACCGACCCAAATCTGGATTGAGGAGATGTTGCATCAGCTGGTGGTAGTTCTTGGTGAATTGGACGCCCACATAGAGTGCGCTGGACAGATTGCAGGGCGCCCGCCAGACGAAGTCGCACTGATGAAGCAAGGATCAGTCAGGCAGACTTGCAATCTTGGTGAGAGGACCCGCTTCTTCTCGAAAGGTAGCAATATGCTCGATGCTGTTATGCGAAATCAGGGCGGGCCACTTACAGCACTAAGGAATACCGGACACGCACATTAACAAGACGAAAGCAGCGACTAGTGGGTCGCAACGCGCGGTGAGCTCCGGAACATGCAGGATCGAGAGATATCGCCAACGCACCAGCCAGGTAATTCGTTAACTGCGCGTCGTTGATGAGCAGCAGAAGCTGCTCGGCCTGCTGCGGCGTGAGCAATGGAGGTATCCCCGGAGAGTCCATCGCTGATCGAAAGCCAAACTCCGTGTCGATCGCTCCCTCTGCCTGCGTGCAGCCTGCTCACTCGCGGCGGCGCTGGAGACAGCTGGGTAAGACTGGCTTATCCTGTTGTAGGGGACGGACTTCGGAAACTCGGGCACCCGTGCGGACGTGAGCAGTATATAGGAGACGGCCCCCGGTCCTCAGATGGGTCCTCCACCGGCAGCCGGTACCGAGTCGGCGTTGCGTGGGGTCACGGGAGGAGTGGCGAGAAATTCGAAGGCGCCGATCGTATGGACATTCACGAGCTTGCGGGCAAAACGCGGGGCCAATTGCATGTGCTTAGCCGGATGACGTGGGTCAGGATCATGGGCAGAACCAGGCAGAACCGGTTCTTTCCCTTGGCTTACGGAAGCGGACAGCCACTCCCCTTCCAAGTTCCAACTCGCAGGCACCCAGTGGATGTGGCAAATGCAAACACGGGACCGAAGGTGGGATTTAGTGCGGGCCATCTGACCGGAGAGGATCACAGCGAGAGAAAATCAACTTGAGACTTATACTTCGTTGGTGCCAGTTTCGGAACTGCGCATGTGCATGCCCTTATGAACACCTCAGAATGCAGACAATCACCGCATTTTGAGCAGGAAAGAACTGCTTCGTTGGGCGCACATTAAGCTGCCCCCGACTTGTTTTCAGCAGAATGTTTTTTCAATAGAACGACAACGATGATGTTCCTGCGCCTCCTCTGGTTCGAGCGCCTCGTGATCGCGATTCACCATCACACCGAGGATGGAAATAAGGCCCATGGCCCATGTCACCGGAGCGCGAGCCCCAAAATAGGCATGAGCCAGTGGCTGTGCCTTTTCGGCACAATGCCGAGCCCGGGAGGGCCCGTGTACTGTAGTAAGTAATATGTAAACGTGGATTCCTAAACACAGCCAGTGGTGGTACAAATTGACTAATTCTTTATTCTCATCCCTTTACTTTGACGCATGCCGAATCGGAGGACGTATCTTGGAGACTCAGTAGGGCACGATGTTTCCGTTGACCGAAGAGACAGCGGTCTCGGCCGGGATCTCGTCCTTCTTCGCGTACTGCGGGCAGAGAACGAAACGAATTAACGAGAGCAAGGTGCGGAGAACGATGGTGAGTCTACTCACATATCCTTTGTGGCCCCCGTTTCCGTAGCCGGGGTGTCCGTGACCGTAGCCGTGGTCCTCGTGCCCATGCCCGTATCCGTCATGTCCGTTCCCAAAGATCGGGAGTAGCAAACCCTTCTTGGCCAGCTGTCCGTCGCGTCGCTGAGCACTGCGAGCTAAAGAAAAACAGAACGCGGGAACATACGACGTAGTTGTTGTGTCCGCCATGCCCGTGACCGTCGCGGTCTCCGCCGTAGCCACCGTGCTCGTGCTCGTGCTCGTGGCTATACCCCTTCTTCTCGAGCTGCACATCCTCAGAACGTCATTTCTCACAACAGAGCGGGTCACATACAGCATAGTAGTGGCCACCGTGGTGGCCATTGTGACCGCCACCGTATCCGTGACCTCCCTGATGACCTTCGCCACCGTGTCCGTAACCAAAGCCTTTCTTTTCGAGCTGCGCTATCGTCAGATCAAGGTCCAATGAATCGCCACCCGCCTCGCACAGCATAGTAGTGGCCACCGTGGTGCTCGTCATGACCGCCACCATATCCCTGACCGCCGTGGTGCCCCTCGCCGCCGTGTTCGTATCCGAATCCCTTCTTTTCGAGCTGCAGAACCGTCAGCCAGGCTATCTGACGAGTCGACGAAACCGACGCACAGCGTAATGGCCTCCGTGGTGACCTCCGTTGTGACCGTACCCTCCGTCGTATCCGTGGTCGCCGTGCCCGCCCTGGTGGCCGTGCTGTCCGCCGCCATAGCCAGGGCCCTCTGCCGGCCCGGGGCCAAAGCGTCTCTCAGCTAGCTGTTGGGGCCCGTCGTCAGTTTAAACGGGCAAGAGGCGCACAAACGCGGTGAAAATGAGGCAGACCGGGTAGTAGCCGCCGCCGCCGCCGCCCCGGTGGTTGCTGTTCCCGCCTCCATACCCGTTGCCGTGGCCGTGACCTTCGCCGTGACCTTTGCCGTGGTCGCCGTTCTCGTGGCCGTAGTTCTTCTTTTCCAACTGCTCGGTGCTGGCGGTCGGGGCCTGCAGTAGTCAATGTCCACATCATCAGCGATCTCAAATGTCATATGCGACTCTGTGCGACACGCACCGCCGCGACGCCAACGGCAAAGACAGCCAGAACAAGGGTAGTCAGGGTTTGGAAGCGCATATTCGAGTCGAGGATTCAAAGGACGCTGAGGTTGATTCGACCTTGGAGTATTCTCTGCGCGGCCTCTGCAGCTTTTAAACCCTCGCTGACCTCGTCCTGCAGCGACGGATTCCCCCGCACTAACACACCGATACCACCTTGCAAAATCCACCACTGAATACCACGCACAGCGCCGGCGAGCTCGGCACATCCTTTCCAGTCTCATTACCGAAGCGGGGATCCTGGAATGGGGGTGCGACACCACTGCGGTTGCCATAGCACGCGCGATTACGCCGGTCTCCGCTGGCTGGAGGCGAACAGAGCCATATTGCGCACGACGTGCCCCGGATTGCTGTGCCCGTGTAAGGCGAAACGATACTGAGAAGCGGCTCCATATTTCTCGTAACGCTGTGGAGTGAGAGAAGGAACAGCCTTTGTGAGACTCGAGGGCCAAGAATATTAACCAGCCCTTGTCGACAAATGTGATGCGTCTTGCCACTTTATCCGTATTGAAAGCGGATCTAATTATCCACAGTGTGCTTCTTCGATGGAACGGAATATTCTTGTCATTCAAAACGACACATAGCGAGTGAAAAACAATATAGGCCTTTTTGTATCAGTGGATGTCAGAGCTGCAGGAGTTTTGGAGAGACAAACTCTCGTAAGCGCAGCCAATTGAACTGATTGCCATTTGCCCTAGTTGGAACAGAAGAGATTGCTGCGCAATGTATGATTTAATCGGCCGCCGCGGTTTCGTATTTACGCAACTACTTGCTGGCCACTTTAGCGAATCCGAGGAAGAGTGTAGCAACCCTCTACGCTTTGGTCATAAGAGGCACTGTACTATCATCCGGAAATTGCCGCCTCTGGGATGTGCCGTGGACTCGACCAAAATCAATCGCGCATCTCAAAGTAACGCTGAATGCTGCGATAAGTAGATATATACATGTGCGATTTTGAATGATAGCTTCTAGGATACAGCAAGAGAGACGGCAATTCCCATGGACGCGAGCTCTGCACAAAGATAGCGGAAGACGTACGGGACTGCAACGACGTCCAGATCCCCGCCCTTTCCCGTGCCGAGAACGTGCTGCGACGATATCGAGACGCGCAGATCGGCACCCGGGGGCGTCGCAGCCGGGCGTCCAGCAGCCAGCGCCGCTCGCTCCCGCTCATCCTGCTGGTCCGCCGCGGCCCGACAGACACGGCAGTACTCCCCGCCAGGGCCCGATGGCCGCCCCGACGCCCCAAGCGAGACGTCCTCGTAGCCGAGCGAGATGAGGCTGCCGCACGTGCGACACACCCAGGCGGTCGAGTAGTCGGAGCAGTTCATCAGCCGGTCCTGGAGCAGGAACGACGTTCCGTGCGCGATCAGTGCATCGCGCTCCATCTCGCCGAACCGGATTCCACCAGCACGTTTGCGCCCCTTGACGGGCTGGCGCGTCACCGGGTCGACCGGCCCCGTCGTCCGCACCTGGAACTTGTCGAGCACCATGTGGCGCAGGCGCTGGTAGTAGACGACGCCGAGGTAGATGTCCGCTGCGAACTCCTGGCCCGTGATCCCCGAGTACATCGGCTCGCTCCCGTAGTAGTTGTATCCCGCCGCGAGCAGCTGTTTTCCAAAGTAGTCGACCGCCGTGTCCTCTTCTGTGAATCTGTAGAAGACATCAGCCAGGGAAAGAGATTCGGACGGGCGGAAACTGACTTGAAGGGTGTCGCATCCTGCGCCAGACCATGCATCGCACCGGACTTGCCCGCCATGCTCTCCACCAACATCCCGATCGTCATTCGACTAGGGAACGCGTGCGGGTTGATGATCACGTCCGGCTGCATTCCGCTCTCGCTGAACGGCATGTCCACCGCGGGCCACTTCTGCGAACAAACACCCTTTTGCCCGTGCCGCGATGAGAACTTGTCGCCAATTACGGGCGACCGCGTTATCCGCAGCGTGATCTGGATCTTCTGCAACTCCGAGTCCCCGGCATCCGACCCCAGCAGCCGCACCTGGTCGACCAGGCCCTGCTCCCCGCCCTTGTACTTCACAAAGCGCGTCCGACCCGTCGTGTCGTCAATATACGCGGCAATTGGGTCCCCCGAGTCGAGCTTCGTGCCTACGAAGGGCAGCCCGTCCGTGTCCAGAAAGTCGAGGCAGTGGTGCGCACGCTCGCCTCGGCGCTGGATGTCGCGGCCCAGCCCGAAATGCAGCGTCGGCGCACTCGTCTTCGCAGCCCCGTGCATGTCGCGGAGATCGACGATCTGCGACTTGTAGACGGTCCCGTAGCCGAAGCCCCGCTCGTGCGCAGACTTGTTCAAGATCATGGCGTCTTCCATGTCGTACCCTGTGTAGGAGATGACAGCGACCACGGCGTTGGTCCCGTTCGGGAAGGCGTCCATGGCATAGGTGTTGTGCAGAGCGGGCCGGACGACAGGGCTCTGGCCTGTTTGCAGTCGATACAACTTGTTGTCTGCCCGGTGCTGCAGCGCCGTCGAGGGTGTGCCCATCGACTGTTTACCCATCTACATCGCAGGTCAGCCAGGAGACTTGCGAGAGAACTCAGGTGCACACACCTGACACTGGTAAATGTTTCGCGGACTCTGATTAAAGTCCGAAAACGGCGTCAGATTAGCCAATATCGACAAAAAGTTGGTCGCGTTGTGCTCGACATGGGAAGACACGCCCACTTCGATCTCCTCCGGCGTGCAAGCGATATCCATGTAGACCTGTTCGAACGGCCCAACCTGATCATCCCGCCCGTTCGCAAGATACTTCACGGGTCGCATCATCCGCGAGCGCGTCGAGAACAGGAACAGACCCGGATACTGGCCCCCATGCGACTCGGGCACTAAACCAATCTCCAGATCCAGCGGCACCTGATTGAGGCCCTCCGTCTTCCACACCCGCAGCGCGGTGGCCAGATGCGCCGCCACGGCCGGCCGCGCCCACCCAATCACCCGCCCATCGAGCTGCACGCATACATTCTTAGTCCCGTCGACTGCGGCGGAAGAGAACCCCTGTGTCATCCCGTGCGCCGCGAGCAGCGCGGGGATGTGCGCGACCGTCAGCGGAGCGGTCACGATCCGACACGTGCGCGACAGGTGGTTGAGCAGCCCGCAGGGCGAGCCGTCGGGTGTGTGCACCGGACACAGGAATCCCCATGCCTCGGGGAGCAGTTTCCGGACGGTCGTCGTTTTGAGTTCGGCGAAGAAGGCACCGCGGTGGATGCAGCGGAAATGACTGATATACCGCAGCCAGTTGAGTTTCTCCGCGACAATCGTGAACCCGGAGGCTTGTTGCAGGTCGAGGCCGGTCGGCGAGACGAGGTTGCCCGTCGCAAGGAAGTTAGCCAGCTTAGAGCCAATGTCGAAGTTGACTTTGCTGAAGACTTTTTGCAGATATTTCTCTGGTCATGGGTCATCAGATCTCGCTCATTTCCGGATAATACCACTCACTGTCATTGAAATCCACTGTCACGCCGTTTCGAACATCGATGTTGATATTTAGTCGGACCTGATTCAGAGTTTCCTCCAACCGTTCTTTGATAATCATAGCATACAGTTGGCCGGGTAGCAGCACTTCTTGATGTTGGGGAGAGTCGGGATTGTCTGCCGCACAAGAACCAGAAACCAGCGAGTAAAGTTTCCGAAGCATGAACCTGTCACAGCTGAGCGTCCTCTGCCAAGTGAAAGTGAAAGAAAGACATACAACAGCATCCTGTACTTGTCTCGAGGATTTTGCAGATGAACGAGGACCATCTTGTTGATAAGATATGCGCCGACAGCATGGTTGGTCCAGTTCTCAGGCGTTCCAAGCACGACGCGGAATTTGTCTCCCAGATACTCCAAGCACTGCTCCCCCGTGCTGAGGGTGAACATCTTGAAGCTCCGCAACAACAGCTCGACCCGATCCGTGAGGAAAGTGTTGTCGTAATCCTGCATCACTACGCCCTCGAAGATCTCCTTGTCCGATGCGCCGAAGAGCGCTTTCAAGACCAGCATGATCGGGATCACGTATTCCTGTTTCCGCCAGCTGAACCTCAGCATCGCGCTCCCGTTCGACAGGTAGTGCAGTGTGTTGGTGACCGCAGTCTGGTCTGGTCGTACACATCGAATCTGGACCGCGTACTGTGTATACGACGGCCCCCGATTAGCGAACGTAGGTCGGAGTAGGGAGATGACGTGATTTCGACGGGGGAGAATGAGGTATCGGATGAGCCTCTCGTTTCCGTTGATGATGAAGTACCCGCCGAACTCCTCTGCCTCCTCGTGCTTCCGAACGAGCTCGGCAGACGACATCCCGCGGAGGTTGCAGCGCGTCGAGCGGACCATGATCGGGACCAGTCCGCACTCCTTCGGCATCTCGTGTCGCTGCCCCTGCGGGTCCGTCCAGCAGAGCTTCATGGTCATGCGCCCGCGGTAGGATGTCAGCCGCTCTCGCGCTTCGGAAGGGAACACCTTTCGGTTCGTCGAGTGTCTGTCCTTTTCGGGGACCATCGGGCGCGCAACAGCGACAGATTCGATCCATACTATGCGCGTGCGTGTTGAGGCACATGTGCAAAGGAACGCGACCGCAGGAGACGAACGTACTTCGCATCTGGTTCCCCCACCCCCGCTCATCGGCTTTGCCGTTCCCATCAAACACAACCCGCTCCCCTATGTCCTCCAAACCGAGACTGATCAGTCCCCGCCCATCGCCGTCTCCAGAGGGCAGTCCCGAATCATCGAAGAGCGCGTTGAAAGACTCGATATGCGGTGCCACGAACTCATTCAGGATTTTGTGTGTTGAGCCTTCTGTTGGCGGGTTTCGGAACGAGTGCTCGCGCTCGAGTGTGCTGAACGTGGGTTTTCGTCGCGTGTGCTCAGAATCAGGCATGGCTACGGAGGACGAGGCAAAAAATTGGAGGCACGTGATCAGGCTCGATGATCGGCTTGCCTGATTACAACTTGAATTTACAAGCAATCTGTATACATATATATACTACAAGTACATCGGTCCGTATAAATCAATCTGGTACATATTGGAGATGGAAAGATCACAGAGAGACGACACCAAGGAGGGCCAGGCTCTGTTTCGCCGTCTCGTTTCTCGCGGCCTTCTTGGTATTACCCAATCCTCTTCCATACACTTGTCCGTCCACAATAGCTTGCGCCAACCACATCGGTGTAGCTTTCCCCCCACTTCCCGAAGAAAGATCCACACCGAAAGGATCGCGTGCCGAGTAAGTCCATTCGACACGGCGATTCGTCTTCTGCAGATGCTCGTTGAAGCGCGAAAGATAACCGCTGACTTCGGAGGGTGTCAACGGTTGGAGAAGAGGGCTCGTGGGGGAACTCGTGGGCACCGTGGGGGAGTCCGGAGGCGTGACGAGACCATGCTCGCGACGGACTGATTGGTAGGCGACTCGTGCATACGGCCGTAACAGAGCAAACAGCCAGGTTTGGACCGTCTCCAGTCCTTGATCGAGGTACAATCCTCCGATGAACGACTGTTAATCCATGTCAGATGAGAGTCCACCTGGTCTCCAAAGACTCGCCTCAAAGAGATCGGCTGGAAGGATAGTCAACGCGATACAACAGCTAAATCATCACCCGCACCTTGAACTTTAGGTGACACTCGCAATGCATCAGCTTGGGCGGGATGCACGATCAGGTTCTCCGGTAGCTTGTACTTGAGAGAGCTGCCGAACAGGTCAAATGATGGTAGATGAACAGGATCGGCACAGACATATCCGCCAGATTCGTGTTCGCTACAATCAACGAACGCACTTTCTGCAACCCTTCTCTCAGCAGACATAGGAGGAAAGAATGTGTGGTCGAAACTCGCCGTGCAGGGCCCGACTCGCAGTCCCGGATACGTCTCCATGATCAGGCTCGTCGTCACAAATCCCAGTACCGCATCACCCAGATGTTCCAATCTGCATTGCATGAGCACACTCCACCGCAGCTCCCCCATCGCACACCCACTTCTCATTATCCGGGCTCAGGTCCTCGATCGGGTCCTCGAACACATTAGCGGGCCTCCCAAAGTAGCTCCGGTGCGTGAACACGCGCGATCGGATATCATCCCGGTAGATGTGCGGGAGAGACGGCAGTTCCGAGTGTGGCTGCAGGACAGGCATGGAAAGGAAGGATGGCGTACAGTGGGAAACACGGAACGGGAACGGGTCAGCCATCGTCGGACAAGGATCAAGCTGCCATTCAAATTTGAGGCGGAGCACCAAACGTGGAATGTGATATACGCTTGACCCGGCGAGACGCACGGAGAAGCCGGCTCTACGGCGAATGTCCTGACACAGAAGTGCGCGAGGTATCATGGCGAGGACAGATGCGCATTAGGACCGCTGAGTTCATTCATACTAGTCCACAAATGGCATGAGAGCAAGATGAGTTTGATGGACAAATCAACGATACGTCATCACCCAACTGTGAGGATAAGATTGAGCAAGGCATAGAACAGTTGTGCAGTCGGAGGCAACTAACGATGAAAAATGACGGATCCGCTGATCGATTTTTCTGTGTTGAAATATGCGAGTAGAAAGATCACAGTGCCCTCCTCTGCCAGACGACCCTACGGACGTCGGAGAAATCCTGAAGCGAATTCACTAAAGGTACTTTTGCCACAACGTCTTTGCGGTTCATGATCACCGGATTTCATCTGTGTGTCGATGATCTGTTGAAGGTCTCAAGTTCCTTCAAATCCCTTGATCTTGTAGCGCACTAAAAGATGTGTCTTCTTGGACCTTGATGTCTGCTTTCAAGTCTGCTATCGCAGGCCGCTCAGAACTCATTCGTGCCAGTTCCTGAGCCACACTGGGTGGTCAGTGACCTGTGGGCATGAATGAAATGATTCGGAGGGCCTACGAATGCAAAATAGGCAGGTCCCAATCTCATTTCCTCAGCGATATTTCCATATTTTTCCAAGCAAGGTCAGCAGATAAGGTTTGTCGACTGGGACATATAGTGCCCGACCCCAAGTCAGGTGTCGAGTCTTGACTCTGAAGCTTTGCAGATGGATGATGTCCTCCCGGTGATCACCTCGGCAGGAAAGTTGCCCCGAAAGGCACTCGATCCGGTCGTGGTTGAGTCCAACAACGCGATCGTTCTTCGCGAACATGTTGTTCAATGTTGGCAACCTCTTAGCCCGGGAAGGATTCGCAACGGATGCTTGTCGTTATTCGAGCCAGGATACCCGACTGGAATCCTCCCTCAATATCGCTGAACCAAGGCCGAAGAGATCCCGGAGCATGACCAGCGATCCTGTAGGATGCACGCGTATCTTTCTAAGCCAAGCTGTAAGATGTCTCGCGCGATAAGAGATGTATGCTGGGATCGAGCTTTCGTAGGCAATGCCGAAGCCTTGCAGGTGACCAATCTCGCCCTTGAGGACCTGGTCCAAGCCTGACTGAGTTTCCTTCTCAAGTCTCAACACCCACGGTGAACTGGTCAAGCTGTCGGATTGTTTCGGCTGTCCATGTTGCAGATGAAAGAGCATTCCAGATCTTGAGTCCCAAGCAGATAGCACAATCCAATGGTACGCTCTATTCAACGCTGAACATCGTTAACAATCATAAGTAGATCCATTATACGCAGATAAAACGTCAGTTAAGTTTGTGGTATCGCCTTCCGGCTCCGTGATTACGCTGGGACTGGTCGCCCGACCAGAACCATGCCTTCTTCTTCCTGATCGGTCTCGACGCTGTCGTTCGAAGACCCAGCGACGGATGAAACCTCGGTAGCCGTCGTCGAGGGCGTCTTCTCCGCGTTGACGGTGTCGATGGTAGCATCGTCTGGCATGGCACGCACACTCTCGCTCACAGCGGCGGAGACCACCTCCTCTGCCACAGTGGGCTGTTCTTTGGATGGGACCTCAGCTGATGCTGGTGCAGCGGGCGAAATCTCGATGAGAGTCGCGATCATCTGGCCCCGGACACGTTCGATGAGCTCCGGGATGTCGGCTTTCGTCAGGCCCGCAGTGGGCACCGGGGGAAGCACTTGAAGGTTGACCTTTAGTCTAGAGTGACGAGCGTTAGTGGAACAACTCACCTTTGATACGAATAGTCCCACTAGTGAACACGCCCTTGTGGTACAGACTCCAGTAGTTGCTAAAAACGATAGGGATGATCGGGAAACCGGCCTGGATAGCGAGATGGAACCCGCCCTTCTTGAACGGAAGCATCGAAGGTTCAGGCGACTGATGGCGGGTTCCTTCGGGGAACATCCACAGGGAGATGCGTTTTGCGCGCATGGTTTTGACGGCGTCGTCGAGCGAGTGCATCGCCTTTGCAGAGTTTCCTCGGTCAATGAAGATCGCACCGGACATCGTCATAAAGGGCCCGAGGGGTGAGAACTGGAGCGACTTTTTCGATGTCATCGACGTTTGCTTGGGCATCGCGCTATATGATAGTAAGCACAGCTGAGCGCGCATGAGCGTGCATGCTGGGACGCACCGACCGACGGGAAGAATATCTAGCATACTCTGGTGATTCGCCAGGAGCACCGCAGGCATCGCACCGCCATCCTTCTCGTCCCTCAAGTACTCCTCGCCCTCAATCTCTATGGTGATTCCCAGCACCGAACCCGCGAGGTAATAGAACGTCCGCGCGACGACGAAGTTGACATCAAAGCGGCTGCCCATGGCCGACATGCCGGCGGCCACAAAGGCGCTGATGGTGGCCACGAAGCCCATCGTGCTCACGTACACTACGGTGCGCGAGTAATATCTCCCCAACGGCCAGGACTGCAACGCAACGAAGGGGAGCGAGACATAGGCGACTGGCTTGAGCAGTGCGAGCAGCGCAGCCATGGAGGGAAGAAGGAAGGGAGGAAGGAGGTAGACCAAGGTGGACGCACGCAGACAAGAGACAGATAGTATTCGTTGCCGTTTTGGGAAGTTGCTCCTCTCGGTCTCCTGCGACTGTGTCGCTATCAGCTTCTTCAAGTAGCCTCACTGCTGAAGGGCTGCCATCCCCGGGTCTCATCCGGTGTATTCATTCCGAGTTGTTCTTTGGCCTTCGAGGACCGACCAGCAAGCAGGGACAATTGTCGCTTCTCTTCGGGGACAGTTCGTGCCCCAACGTCAATTCCCCTCGGGCAGTCGGTTATTCAGCCAGCCCACGGCCCATGAAATTAATCCTGTCCTCGCGTCCCCAACATCATCTGTTCAAACTCAACTTCTGAACCTCGCCCGAAACATGCGAAGTTCGTCCACCTGACTGCTATCGATCCGAAACCTATCTACTGGTCTCCACTCGAACGCCGTTCTTCTCCCTCTCGAAAACGCAATTAATTATGTACGTTGCACTTGGCGAGAGAGAAAACATACAGGCGCAGGTGGCAACACGCAGGCGCACGAGCCCCGTCAATCTGCCATGCTTGTGCGGACGCTCACGTCTGCAAGAAAGAAGACGACTGGAAGGTTGGCATAGCTGCAGCACGCCTCTCCGGGAATAAATCAAGGTTCTTACCGGTGAGCGAATGTGCTGCTACGATCCGGATGCGGTCCGATACCCCAGTGGCACCATGCTTGTACCAATGCGCACTGGACTCTTCTCCAAATGGGCCCGACGTGCCAGGTTGGATGTCATACTAAGGCTAGCGTTGAGCACACACAGTGGGCATGACAACATTAAGGCCGGCTCAGTCTCACCGAACTCGATTTCTGGAGCACGCAACAGTCGCATGTTTTATTTGGCCGTGGGAAGTCATCTGCCCCAGTGCATAGTAGATCACGAATTCTGATAATCCATTTATAAGTAACACGCTTGAGCTTATCAAAACAAGTCGGCATTGTCTTTCTTATAAAGTATGGTAAGAGGGAATTCGACACTGAAATTGCTCCTCTTAGGGATCGGTGAGAAGATTGAATTTCAAGCGTGGATTGAGCAGGATACTCGGAGAACATCGAGGAGATCCGACGAAGACTTGCCACTCCAGATACTTAAGCGCTTCATCCTTGTGCCTGCCTTATCCATCACACCCTACAGATGTCCGCTTGACATTCTGAGGGGCCTAAGGAGACGTTCGATATGCAAGTCTCTGGTTTACTCTTACCGTAAGCGGAGACTATGCACGTGACCATGTTGCCGATCTTGCTACCTTTCCGTTCATCCAGAAAGACGATAAATGGACGTTTTGAGTAGAAACCAAGAAAAGCGGTATCTGCGTCTTTGGCTCAAATTATGAGCGACAATGTGAATATGGGCATGAACTCGTGGAGTCATTCTGTCATTGACAAGGTATGTACGATAGGGATGGTAGTGATACAAGATGAACGAGATAGTAAGGCTACAGAGAGGGAGAAAGCAGACGAGGAGAGCAAGAAAGGCAGATGTAGGTGATAGTAGTGTGTGTGTGTGTGTTTCAAAGTCGTGACGGTAGGCAAAAGAAAGCGAAGAGAATAAATACGATAGCAGTTGATGGACGATGATGGGCATTAGGTAGATATAATCAGAAAACATGAGATTTTTTCACCGCAGGAACATCTCCACGGGAATCGGTTTCCTCCGCAACCCACTGCTAGACGTCGAGCTCGAGGTGATCTCAGATCCGCAGTCCGACATCCCCGAGCTCGAGCATCCCGAAGAGCTCGCCGAGCGCGGATGCCCAAACGACCAAGCGCTTGCATTCGACGTTCGACGCCGGGGGGAGCGCTGCGTCGTGTACGCAGTAACCAGCGCAGGGCTGAGTGGGACATCCTTGAACTCCTTGTATTCCTTGGTGGGAGCTGGCCGGATCACAGGCGGCAGTTTCGGCGAGGTCGGGTACGAAGCCCACTGGCCGTTGGGCGACACCGGCGAGGTCGCGGTAGCAGTCGCAGTTGAGGACACAGCAGCCATCAACGACCCGGAGGTAGCAGGGCGCACAATCACGACGTCCGCGGCAGTGATGCGCCTCTTGGCAGTCTTCCGCTTCAGGTTCTTGGGCGAGAACGACACAGACAGAGGCGATTTGGGGGATTGGTGGGCAGACTTCTTGCTGCTGCTATGACTGCTGGTGCTGCTCGGGAAGTACCGGCTCGCAAATGAGTTGAACGTCTTAGGCGAAGGCGCGTCCTGCGCAGAATTGATCGACGACAAAGTCGAGGACGACCAGCGAGATTTGAGCTGAGGCGTTGTCGAGCGCGTCAAGAGCTCGACGTGAGCCGACTTCGGCGGGATGGGGGGTGGGGTGCTCTTTTCCTGCTGGATGACCGTCGATATATGCGGCGAGGCCGGCTCAGAGGATCCGGCTTGGGGCGACAACGGAATCTCGTCATACATCACCTCGATATCACACTCCTCCCATTCATCGTCGTTGGCATCAACATCGGACGGCAAACCCTGAGACTCGGGCGGGAATCCCGAGGGAGAGAGGAGAGCGGCCAACGAGGAGGAGGAAGTCGAAGATGATGACGAGGGTGAAGCTGAAATGAGGGGGTTAACATTAAACAAAACTACCAGCAAGAAGCAACTCACGCGACGGCGTATAGACAACGTACTCATCCGCACAGTCGCCAGCGTCCATTGGGACAGGCGACCTCGGCGGGGGTCTCACCAGCGAGACCCGCAGGTTCGGCCGCGAGAAGTTGGGAACGGGCACGTCCACCTCCGACTTCTCCGACGCGGAGCGGTTCCTCGGCACAAACCCACCCATCGACGAAGGCAGGTTGAGGCTGAGGCGGTTTGGCATGGGGATGATCATTGACTCGCGTCTTGGCAGGAGGGTATATGCGGCCTCAGGGCGGAGAGTAACCAGCCCGCTGGCATGCTGGGCGTAATATTCATTATCTGACTCGGTCTCCTCTTCATCCTGCCAGCCGGCCTCCTGCTGTTCTTCTTCACCCTCCGCGAAGCAGATGGGCGACACGGGGCGCTTGACAATTGTCAGCGGGCGGATGGATTTGAGCGAAAGCGGAGGGGCGGGGAACGAGGCGCTTGTCGGACTATGGCTGGGCGTCGATGGCGACGAGCTATCGGAGCTCGAGCCAGAGACACAAGGGGTTCCGTAATCCTCTTCGTCGTCCGAATCGGATGTGGGGCATTGCGCGAATAAGGGCACGCGTGCCCGCGGAGGCAGCGAGAAACGTTTCTTCTCGGGGGATGCAAGAGAGGCGGGGATGCGCAGGTCGGAGACACCGAGTCGGCGGCGGGCCTTCAGGCTGTTCTTTTTCGGTGCGGCGGCAGTCGAGATGACGCCGAATTCATCTTCTTCGATGATGCTCGTGAGGTTGTTGATCGTGTTGCGGCGGGTGACACGCGATTGGCGGCGAAATGTAGGGACTGAGAAAGGATGTCAGTCTTTTCAGTTATGGATGAGAAGTGAGGAAAGAACGCACAGCTCATCGTGAATGTAAAGGTCGTAAGTCGTGAACGAAATAAGAAGACGTGCCGCTGGTAAAGTGAGAGCGAAGTGAGCTCGAAGAGACGAGTTGCTCAAGAAGTGAGTGTAGACATACCTCCCGCTCACGCCCCGCATATATACTTCCTTAGTCTCCATTGTCTGCAGAACAGTGCGGGTGATGGCAAGCGAGAGGACAATGGCTGCACGTGATTTGATGAGGTGCATAGCACAGCCACATGCATTGTCCATGCTCAATGCCATTCAAGCTCAGACTCGGACGTATAAAGCCTGATGCAAAACATAGGATGGGAGGTCATCACGCTTGATTTTTTTTTTTCGCTTCCCATACGGTCGCTATCGACCGCCAACATGATGCCAATCCGACGCACATGCACAGTATCATAGGTAACTAAAACAGAATTACTACAGTACCCAATCATCTAGTACGGACCAGCTTGTTGCCTCAACAAGATACGTATAAACAAGATTAAGTTACAAATCAGCATGGGCAAGCGAGTGTGAGTTACTTAGCGTAAGTAAGTAGTTTGAGTATCCGTAAATCCAACTCCGAATCCGTATCAACTGAACTTCAAGCACCCACTTGAGCTACAGGGGTATAGGTTTCCAATGGAGCATGGGTGTACTTGGTCGGCGCGGCCTCAGCCTCCGGCTTTTTCGTTTCCTCGAACACACCCCCGCCCCCCAGGAACAGCTCAACGAGCGACAACTCCAACGAAGCATCCGCCGCCGAGGGAATCAGTTTGTTCTGATGCCCGTCGTCATTGGAAAGCGAGGGAGACGGATACGGGACCTCGAACCCCCTCCCGGTAGTAGGCACGTTCCCTTCGGCCCCCGAAACGCCGGCCTTGGCGAGGAACATCTCGAACAGCAGCCGGCACTCGTCCACATTCGACGCACACGAAAGGAGCCGTCGCATATCACGTGCGTCCTCGTCCGCAATCGCGTTTGTTGAGGCGGGGGTCGTCGCCACCGGGCTGGGGCTCGGTTTGCGCTGGACGACAGGCGAAGGTGGCGGAGGTAATGACGTAGTGATCGTCGTTTTCGGCGGCACCCGTCGGCTGGCATCAGACACGGCCTTTTGACGAGGCACCCGAGCACTGGCTGCCGCCGCCGCCACCGCAGCTTGCTGCTGCTCCTCGGCAGCAACGGCGGCTGCAGCAACGGCAGCAGCTGGTGCAGTCGGTGAGATGGGGATGACAGCCGTCGGTCGGCTATACACGTGTCCGTTGGTAGTCGGTGGTGGGGGCATCTGACCGTTCTCTATCTGCTGCTCCCAAGTCGGCATCGCCCGAGGCTGGTTAACAGACGACTTGCGCGATCTAGATCCTGCCGTTGACGATGAGTATTGCTGGTACCCGTCATCTGAAGGCGACAACGGCGGTGAAATCGGCTGAGTTGGAGGAGGACGGGGCGGCACCGGTCGATTCGCGAGCGAACTGTACGACGTTTGATGCGCTAGGCCGTTCCCCGTAGTCCTGATGGGAGTCGTTGGTGGCATCGACTGGGACGGACGCTGGATGGTGCTCGCTCGCCCCGAATCGTCGCCGGTCTTCTTCTCCTTATCCGCGCCCATCGCCAACCTCGACATCATCCGCTGCAGCCGCCCGGAACTTTTCTTCCCTTCCTGCTGCACGGGGGGAAGCCCATTCGGTCCACCAAACGACTCGGGCGGCCCCTGATTGAGGAAATTGATCATATCCCGCCCGGCGGCCGACACCTTGGGAGGCGGAACATCCGGCGGCCCATCATTCAGAAAGTCCATCAGGTCGCGCGTCGACTTGGACACTGTTCCTGGCGACCCGTTCATCCTTCGAGGGGTGGTGGGTGACGACGTCTTGACCGGGGCACGAGTCGCTGTAGGTACTGGGGCTGGTTCAGGTGCGTCGTTCTCTTCATCGGAGCCGGCCATGACGTCGTCAAGGTCGAGAGATTCGCGATTCTTCTGGATCCGTCGCGTCTTCTGAGGAAACGAGGGCTCGCTGTCAAAGCCCATGGGGCCTGTGCGTCGTGAATAGGCCATGTTGGGTAGAGGAGGGGCAGTGTCCGAAACGAGTGTGGTGAGGGACGAAACACCTCTCGTCGTCGTCGTGGAAGAAAGAGAAGAGGAGGGGTGATGACTACTAGGAGGCTGCGTGGGAACTGATCTAGGGGCTTCTTCCTCGTCTTCCACGATAGAGTCGACCTGCCGGAGAGAAGGCCGTCTGCCGTTCGCCCGTGATGATGATGGTGCAAAGGAAGAAGGAGGAAGCGCCGGCTCTTCTTTGCCGACTGTGAGAGGGGCCGGCCGTCGTGTCCCGCGCAACCCTTTTTCTTGCCTGTGAACCTATGCAGAAATCATTAGCCGGCCATCAATTACATAACTGATACCACCGAGCGTCGCACGCACCTCCATGGTCTTCAATCTGTCTGGCGTCAACGAAACCTTCATCGTTGAGTCGGACCTCATGAGCATATCGAACTCCTTTTGCAAGGACGTCTTGGCAATCCCCGTCAATCAGGAACAGATAGATAGATGCATGCATCAGATGCCCACCTCATGCACCGGTGATTCTTGGGGCCCCTCAGTACCACTGAGCCCAGAATCCGTCCGCTTGTGGCCGTTTGCACTGTCCTCGTTCGAGCTGCGATTGCCGTTCATCAGCTTCTTGCGTGTCCGGTCGAAAGAAGACCGCGATCCAGAGGCGGTCCCGGTCGTTGTTGTCGTATCAACAGAGCTCCGTGAGCGGTGCTGCATAGACGACTCCCGACCTGACGACCCTTGATCCTGCTGATGAGAAGACCGCGAGTTCGAGAGAGACGGTCGGTCGCTGCGCGAAAACGATTTGTTCCTTTGCGGCTTCGGTGTCTGCGATAGCGTCTCAATTTGCTGGTAGACTGCACCCTGGTCAATTACTGTGGTCTCAGAACGGATTTAGTCGTCAACGTACCTCGCATTGACTTAAATAGTGGATAGATAGAGTGATCTTCGCACAAGGCAACGAACACATCTTGCACCATGGCACTTGTTCGACTGCTGTCCCGTGCAACAACGCGACCGACATTCGACAAGATGTGTCTTCAGACAGGAGTTAAGCTGCAGAATGATGGACAGAAAGCGAATGTCAGACGTACTCGCACATCGATCTGGGAGTAAGATAACCATGAGTTCGTCGGCGCAGAGCACAGGCAGGAACAGGGCACGCACTCAAGTATCGCCGTCAGGTACAGTGAGGCAGGGGCCACCAACGCGGCGGCCGGGGGCATTGTGCCTCCGGCCTGGGTCATTCGTTCAGTGAGACGAGCAACGGCCCCAGCGTCCTCATCTGTCTCATTCAGTGTAGAATATGCTTCGCATTTGAGTCTCAAAAGCTGGAGGGAAAACGGGAACAAAGAACCATTTCTGAGCATGATCGCAACACGCCACAGATAGATTACCCACCTCGAAGGCCCACTGCAAATTAAACGTCCCCTCGTCGCTCTCGAGCACCGGCGGCCTAGCAGTTCGGTCCCAGTACGCCCTCAACTCGACCTCGGCCTCCAGCAGCGCTTCCTTGCCCAGACTCGTCGGGAGGACACTCAGGAGGCTGGCACGCAGATTGTCTGTCGAGAGCGACCGCGCGGTGTTGAGGATGTTGAACAGGAATTCATCGAGTAGGACGTTGATGGAGCGTAGGCCCTCGAGCTTTAGCTTGATAGGCCGAATATCGGAAAGTATGACGTCCGCTGAGTGGGATGAGATGTACGACGGCCCTGCGTTGACTGCGAAGATGGGAGTGAGGGACAAGGAACAGAGGCGCGGGGGAGCGCAGACGCACCGGCGGCCTCAGTGGAGCCCATGACCTACAGGACCAACCAATTGTGGGGGTGGTGTGGTGGCCAAAAGCAAAGTCCTGTCGGCTCGGTGATGGCAAGAAGCTACCAATCTCCCCGATGTGGGAGGCAGATCTGATCTAATCACCCGCGTGTTTCCCGTTGCGACGCTTAGAATCTCCGTGCTTCGCTTCGATTTCGAGGACAACAGTTGGATGCTTAACTCTGAATAGCCTGTGAGCTTACATACGCAGGAATAGCTCCCAGCAACCGGGACGTCCACGGACGGACGCTGCTGCCATTGCCAATGCTGCGTGCGGCAGGACTCCTGCGACGATGTGCCAAATTTGCCGAATGCGGAATCACAGTGAGAAGGAGTCCCAGCCCCGCAACAGTCTTCTGTTGGCCCTCTATCAGATAAGTCGCTGTCCGTCCCGCGATAAGTGCAGACTACAAGAAGAGCTACTTGTAAGAAGCTGATAACGCGTTTCAGCCTCTCACGTAGGCCCGCAACAATTAATACGTCTCGATGGCCGCGGGTGGAATTCGCGTCTTGAATGAAGGAGTGGGTTATGGCATCGTTGTAGGCATCGGGGCCTTCTTCGCCCTTCTAATGTGAGTCGCGCGACCGGAAATCTGTCCATTCTTGCCTTTCTCAGCCCTGACCAGGCTGGCCATCACTTATCTCCAAAACCGCTACACGACATACTCGACAAAAAACTCGGAGGAGTTCAATACCGCATCGCGGAGCGTCAAGCCCGGGCTCATCGCAGCGGGGATTGTGAGCTCATGGACATGGAGTTCCACTCTGCTCACGTCGAGCACATTCGCATATTCTTATGGGGTATGTCAGTTTTTTTTTCTTCGTCGTAACTCCCAGCTGAAAGGAGCAGATCGGGGGTGGGATGTGGTACGCGGCGATGGGCTCGTCCCAGATCCTGCTCTTCTCTCTCATCGCGATCAAGATAAAGACCAATGCTCCCGGCGCTCACACCTTCCCGGAGATCATCCTCGCGCACCACGGACGTCTGAACCACATCACCTACCTCTTCTTCGGATGGGCGACTAATCTCCTCGTCGGCTCGTGTCTCGTACTCGGTGGTAGCCAGGTAGTCGGCGCGCTCTCAGGCGTGAACGTCTACGGCGCGTGCTTCCTCATCCCGCTAGTCGTTGCGGCGTACGTGATCGCCGGTGGTCTGCGCAGCACGTTCATCGCGGACTACGCGCATACAGTCATCCTCTTCGTCGCCATCTTCACGTTCGGGTTCAGTATGTACACATCCAACGGCGGTATCGACCGATTCTACGATCTACTACTCGAGGCTCAGCGGACGCGGCCGATCCCCAACAACGCGCACGGGGGATCCTATCTCACGTTCAAATCCAACGACGGACTCGTATTTGCCGTCGACCTGCTCGTAGCCGGATTCTGCACCGTGTGGCTGGACCAGGCCTATTGGCAGCGCGCCATCGCATCCCGGCCCGAAACATCTGTCAAAGCGTATCTCTTCGGTGGCATGGCGTGGTACGGGATCCCGTTCGGTTTCGCTACGGCAATGGGGCTCGGGTGTGCTGCGCTCACCGCGACGCCGGCGTTCCCGACGTTCCCCAATCCGCTGTCTGCTGCTCAGAACGGCAGTGGCCTATCGGCTCCTGCGACGGCGATTGCGCTGTTGGGCCGCGGCGGCGCTGGGCTGATGCTCCTGCTGCTGTTCATGGCTGTGACGTCAGCGACGAGTGCTGAACTGATCGCGGTATCGAGTCTCATCACATTCGATGTATACAAGACCTACTTCAAGCCCACGGCGAGCTCTGACCAGCTGGTCAGGATGAGCCACGCCGGGATCGTGCTCTTCTCTGTCGTGCTGGCCTCGTTCTGCTGCATCCTGAATGCAGTCAACATCAACCTGACATGGGTGCTGACGGTGCTGGGTGTGATTGTCGGCGGTGGATCTGTCCCAGTGGGCATGATCCTGCTGTGGGAACCCATGTCCTCGACCGCAGCCCTGGTTGCTCCCTGGGCTGGCACCGCTCTCGGACTCGTCGCCTGGTTCGTCGTGACCAAGCTTCGCAGCGGAAGCATCTCCGTGCAGACGACCGGGGACGTCACCAACGCAGTCGCCGGCAACATCACGTCGTGCTGCGTGGGTGTCATCGTGTCATTCGCGCTGTCGTATGTTTTCCCGGCAAAGTGGGGTGCCGCCGAGGCCGAGGGGAATCCTCACGCCCAAAATAGACTGGCCAAAATCCTCCACGGGGATGCCGAGGCGCATGGAACCGAGGCGTCAAGCGAGAAAGACTCGGTCTCGCCCCAAACGGGCAACGCGGTCGTCGACTTTCTCGATTCCTCGTACTCCAAGCCGATGGACCCCGCCGAAGCACGCAGGGCCACCCGACTAGCTTACGGATTCAACATCGCGTACTGGGCGATCGCGGTCATCCTCGTCCCGTTCACCTTCTTCGGGACCGAGTGGGAGTTTACCCGAGCAGGATTTAAGGGCTGGTGCGTTGTGTCGTTCATCTGGGTGTGGTTCAGCGCGCTAGTCTGCATCTTCTGGCCGCTCTGGGAAAGTCGGACGACTATGATCTCCATCGCCAGAGGATTGTTCAGCGATGCACTCCGCCATTGATGATTGAACCCCAAATTAACGTTTATCGAGTGCTACCGATATTAGCATCTATCCATGATATGTAACAGTATGACCAAGAAATCAGCATAAATGTCTGTCCGGCTCACTTCATTGCGACTTCAAAGCGGGCACGATCGCATGGTTTCGTTACATAAATTAGTTTCCAGAGATAAATATCACAGGGAGATTCATTTCGGTTGATCGGAACAACTTCTTCCTTGTATCAACGTCAAGTCGTGCTAATGATACATCCCATCGGCTGTTCCCTTGTGAGCGCTGTAGACTGTGAGTACTGAGCACGGATACTTCAGCTCTACGAGGTAAGTTTGACGTTTCAACGATGGTGAATTCCGGTCGCGCATTTCACCTCGTCAATGTCACAGGACGAGTTACCCCACGCCCGATATTTGCCGGGTCGACAGGAATCAAGCAGAGTTCCATCGGTGTAATTATTACTCAGGGTCCGCTTGGAATAAAATGTGGAGTTGAGAAGCTCTTCGAACACATAGAATCTCACGCTTTCTTCAACCAGCCCCAGATTCATGCCCGAACCCCACTGCATCGAAAAGGGCCATGATGTATACTTTGGTCTGTTTGATATTTCCCATCCTCGCGAAAAAATATTCGGAGCATCAGATATTTCTGGCTTACATCTTTAGTCGGAAGAGAATTGAGCTTGAGCGCTTTTCCAGCATACATTCTCATTTTGCGCACGTGACTAGATCACGTGATCGCGTTACGACTGGCTGCTACTTCACTGTGGTCAGATCTTCGATCACGCTGGGTGAGCACGAACTTTGTTAAAGCGCAGGCTTGGGCTTCGGTTTCTTCCTATTTATTTAAAGTACTTTCTTCTATCGCCACTGACGACAAAAGATTCAGGCAGTGGAAGCTGATATCAGTGCAAAGAATCTTCTCCTGCACGTTAATTGCACCGCGATTCGAGCATTAATAAGCTTAGGTCCAGGGCTCTCCGGCGTGGATGGAGGGATATGGCTCCGAGATTCGGCTGAAGCGTGTGCATTGAGTTATATTTCTATTTCTATTTCTATTTCTATTTCTTTTCCGCTGTGCCTAAACGCGACAGAACTTGATCATGAGCGCGCAGCAGCTCCTTCGCTTCCTCGGGCTCCATGGACAGCACCTTCATCGCCTTTCCGAGTGTTGCAGTCGGGAAGACGGTTGCTGATGGGCCGGAAAGCGCAGGGGCGTAGACACCGTCGAGCGCTGGGTATGGTCTCGGGACGATTGCGTTGACTCTGATAAGATCCTGCAGGTACCGAGCGGCGCGCATAGCTACCCGATCGTTCGAGTGTCAGCGCTCAGGCTAATGCCACAGACTATGAATGTCTCACCTTTGAAATGTGACCAGGATCTCCAAGCGCAGAAATAGAACGGAAGATTAGGTATGATAGCTGGGGCCTGTCAGTCTACGGGTGAGAGGTGACATGATCGGCACGCACGAATCAGTTTGAGGGGCGCGCTGAGAATGGCCAGCTGCGGTACCGTCTCAGTATGGGCGGAAGAGACCACTGAAGAACCGCACAAATATCCAAGTGGCGACGCCTCGTCGGTGTATGGGGATCCGTTGTTCAGCCAATGACTTGAGGTTTTCGAGCGATTCCGGGCCTGAGTGCACCGAGGGAGCATATAGCAACGGGACCTGCGCAAGGTTAGGCCCATCACCGACATGATGAAACAGAGATGCGGCGCAGTACTTACCTCCACATCTTTCGGCTTCCCCGTGATCTTGGGTGCGATCGAGATGTCGATGGTCTTGAGCGTCACTTCCTCGAAATCCAGTCGGTCCATCAGCCGCTCTCCCAGCCGGAACGCGCGCAGCTAATTGGGGGTGCACCGAGTTAGGGAGGCAGTCGCATCATTGCGGCGCGACGCGCGGGCCACCATACACATACCTTCCACGTCCCATCCGGCGCCTTGCCGAAGCTCTTCCATGTAGTGTTCGCTTTATGCGAAGCCCACCTCCCGAGACCTTCCTCAGGCAGCCGGCGCGCGAGGAACCCGTGGGCAGCGGCGGGCTTGGGTACGGGTGGAGGTGAGATGATTCTGAAGCTGTAGAAAGCGGGGACGGTCGGCAGCACCGTGCGGGCGAGCGGCACGGCGATGATCCTCATCGACCCTGCGGCCTGAGGGAGCAGAGACATATTACAGTGTCTATGTGGGAATAGCAGAGATCAGGTCGCCCGCTGATGCATTGAGGCTCCAAGAACGTTCATCGCCGAAGGTACGCGTCTTACTACGCCGGGTATTTGGTTGTTTGGTCCACCGTCGGTTTGATGCCCCATCACACTCGAGCTGTCCAGTGCCGCTACTGCCATGTCGGAGTCAGAATCCAGTGCTGTAGCTCTCGAGGAACCCGGGACGGACTCGCCGCGGGGTAATGGGCTGTCGGAGACAACCCAGTTGTCGCTGATGTTTGTCCAGGGAGAGAGGAATCGGACGCGGCCAGCGCACCCTCTGAGGAGACGGGCTCCGAACCGCAACTAGAAGCATCCGCGGATGCGAACGATGCGCCTGATCATGAGCCACCCCCATCAACCGAGGCTTTGCCAGTAGCTGCGCCAGAGTACCCATGGCTGTACATGAACTCGACCCTCGACGCGTGCTTCCAAGATGCAGAGGTGTGTCGGCTCGTCTTTTCGACGGAGCAATGCATGACGTCCAATCCAGGCAGATCTTACTGAACGAACGAAACAAGTGACACTGGAGGACGTTGAGCCGCAGGTTCCGCCCGATGGAGAGCAACCTCACCCGCTTCAGTTCTACAACGAAATGGAGACTGACAAGGTGTGATTCACTGTGCTCTCACTGCTCAGCGGCTCATCGAACGACTCGTCTAGCTCGCACCTGCGCTAATGCAGGCATTCCTTGCTCATGGCGATGCCTGCACCTCCCTCGAAGCCGACGTCATGCAGCTTGCCATGTGCCCTCCGGAACAGGACCCCGACTTTCCGATGCGGCAATACGATGATATGCTCGAGAAGCTGGGCAAGTGGCTGAACTTGCCACCTCCTTACCTGATCTGACCTTTCTGGCACTCAGAGAATCTGCAGGACGAATACGATGATCTACAAGCATCGATTACCATGTTGATTCAAGCACCGGATCCCTCCTCCAAAGACGAGGATGCCGATGGCGTTGCTCGCTCTCAGCTTGTGCGAGTCTTTTCAGCCTGCCTTCCTGTTCTTCAAGCTCGGACTGCCAACTTGGAGATGGCCCAGCAACTTCTGGAGGGGACAAGAGAGAACATGATCATGAGTTTACATATGGAAAGCATGGAGTTTACTGATGAAGAGGACGAGGAGAGATTCATAGCCAGTATCTGATATAACTAAGACCGAGCACGAGGATCACAAAGATGCCGCCGATGACACTCGCCAGGACTAGCTGCTTCCATGGAGTGGTAATAGCGACGCGTTCTTTCTTCCGTCCCGGTGAGAGAGCGTGATACAGTTCCGCCATCTGGTGAACGACCGAGGGATCCTTGCCCACGACGACCCACAGCTCGCGTTGGGACTCGGACTTGATCCGCCAGTGCGCCCACGGAGTCTTGACAACGGCGGTGCACAGTCCAGACTGGCCGGCTGTCGCCTGCATGCGGGCCAGGTCTCCCCATGCGACGCTGACGATGCTGATGACGGGATCCCCGCAGAGCCGCAGCGCGTTGGCCTGGTCCATGACCTGGACCATCGGCGTGCGCGCCCGCAGACCGCGCAAGCCACCCGAGTCCGACGACGCCTCATCCCCCTCGTCGTCGTCGTCGTCGTCGTCCCCACCGTTCCTAATCGTGTTCCCGTCCTCGTCGACGCGCTCGGTGGGCACGTAGGATGCCGGCTGGCTGAGCAGCGGCTCGAACGACGCGCGCTCCCGCGCCGCGGCGTCTGCGGCGTCCATCTTCCGGCCCCAGGACGGAGACCGCCAGTGGTTCGGCCCCAGGTAGCCGTTGTCGTTGTTGTGGCGAGGAGAGATCGTGGGAGACCGGGCGGGGCTGGCGCGACATAATTCTGCGCGGTGGCCTTTCATGGGTTGCAGGCATTTGCGGCAGCGGGGGGCACGCTTCCTGGGATCCTCGGGAGAGTTGAAACCGGACATTGATGACGCGAAGTTGACTCTGACAAGACTACTGCAGCAGCCTAACTCAGAAAGCCAAAACGGTATAGGGTGACAGTCTCGCGCACCTATCAACTTCGTAAGAATATTGATGCTTGAGCGTACGTTGCTATGCTCTTCTGAGTCCCTTTAAATTGTTCTGGCAGTGGAGAAGCGCTTTGTTGTTGAACGGTGGCATAGCCTGCGAGAATACAAAGCCATTTTCAAGTGCTAAGCAGAGTGCCCAAACTTTGATGGCAATCGCTCAAAGGAGGACAAGATCCGCATATGCGGGCCGGCAGTTGCAGCTGATGCCAATTCCTACCAAGTAATATCAGGGAGACACCTATGTGATCTCGTTTGATGATGTCACCCGAGCGGGTGATTTGGCCCATCTATGTCACTGGCTTGGGTGATCTCGCTGAGAGCCAGCAGACCCTATGTCGCAGACCCTATTGTAGTCGTACAGCCACTTCTGTAATAGCGTTCGCGAGATTCCTCTGTCTTTTTTCACTGTCCTTTGCCCGCCGTTTCCATGGTGGGCAGCAAGAATCAGAATGTCATTGACCCGGTCCTTCTGAATCTCGGACATCCCCGAGTCGAGACTCGCGTAGCAAATGGGGAAGCTTCTTCGCACAGCCTCGTTCTGCCGACACGCCCAGTCACTCCTGCCAGCGCAGAGCATGCCCCAACCTCTTCAGCGTTGTCTGCCCCGCTGACCAACGGCGCCCCGACCTCAGCCTCGTCGACCTTGAATCCGGCCGTTCGGCCAGGCAAAAATGACGCTTCTTCGCACAGCCTCGTTCTGCCGACACGCCCAGTCACTCCTGCCAGCGCAGAGCCTGCCCCAACCTCTTCAGCCTTGTTGACGTTGAATACGGCTGTCCGGCGCAGCGGCAATGGCGAGATATCCGAGACTGCGTCAGAGTATCGTGCAAGACTGTATGTAGTCACTCAGCTTCCTGCTCATTTCTGACCATTCCTGCAGCAATATGTTGAAGCAAAAGAGGCTGCTTCAAGAGCAATGTCGGAAGTTGGGTGTCAAGTACGCTAAACAGGCTACTTTGACAAAGTTGCGGGACATCCTTGTCACTCACAGGTGCGTCGTCCATTTTAGACTACCCGCAGCTATTTTCTCAACAAAGCAGCTTTCCTCTGTCTCCGCCTCCATCCACTACTTCCTTGCAGACACACCCTCGTCCACAAAAGAAGGCACGCACTTTTTACGATGATACTCAGCAACTCGTCCTCGGGAACGCCCTCGCATCTGGGAGTGAGATTCACTGCCTCGCAGCGCCTGTCGGAAGCCGCGTATCAAGCGCCTGTCCACCTCATCGCGGCGAGCTACATGCTGGCATTCCTCTCTCTGTATCACTCCCACCTGCACCTAAGCGACTGCAACCACCTCGATCAGACACACACGAACAATTGCCCGGAGATGAGCCATGGACAGCTACTTTAACTTCTGCATCCCCTAGAGAGAATGCGGGAGAGGCTGATAGCCTTGTGTTTCGCACCGAAGAAGCTCCTGACAGCGAGCGAGCACTCCTTCACGAGTTTTGCGCAGATCCTGGTGCTGCAGCTCAGCTCCTAGGACAGGACGAAGAAGCTAGCGATGGTGAGGACGAAGACGAAGACGATGAGGAGAGATCACTGGACAGCGCGCAGATGTTTGACAAACATGCAATGGCCGTGCGTGTGGAGGCAAACAAGCGGTTTGAAGCCGGGCGGCGACAGGGCGGGATCCAGGCGCAGAAATCATGTGTCAAGGCTATCGACGTCTGTATTACCTGCTTTTCTATCGATGGATTGGCTGCTGATTGCTGTTTTCAGGAATTCACCGAGTGGGCTTTAAAGTTCAAGAAGATTCACGACAACATCATCGATGAACTTTTCCTCCTCCAGTTCATCAAGTACCATGCTGAACGCGAGAAACGAACTCGTCGTGGTATCCCTATTGCAGATACTCGACTCGGAGCAGTGCGTTCATTCTTTTGTAGTTTCAGTCGCGACTGACTCGTATCCCAGTCCCAATTGAAGAAGTTCTTTTTTGGTGCACTTCGGGTCCGCAAACAGCAGGATGCCAAGAATCCAGTGCTAGCCTCAACGCGACCGGTGACGACTGGGTTGGTCTGGGATACAATCAAGGAGAGGATGAGTGACGCCATCAAGCGAGCGTACAGGTTTGCGTTTTCCATCTGGACATTCTTAGATGACAATCTAACCATTCTCTAGAGGGGAAAATGTTGGCGAAGATGCCCCAGACGTTGTTGCCAACACAATATTGATGGATATCACCGACAATGATCGTGACAGAATCGGCAGAGGGTTTCTTGCTCATCGACATCGTATGTCCACATTGTGTCGCAAATCTGGGACTCAGAATTCTTATCAGTTTGGCTGGCTGTCTTCGGACACCTTGCATGGACCGGACAGAGCGCAACTGGCAATCGTGGTGATGACATTCGCTCGCTGGCACTCTGCGAGATCCAGCCATACAAAATGGCCCATCCTTCGCAAAGCAGGAAGAAGATCTGGTGTCTGCTTGGTCTTCAGAGCCAGGAGAAGGCTGGTAAGCGTGGTATGAAAACGGTACACGTTGCTCTTATGATCTTTGTGTAAGTACTGACACAACGTGCAGATGGTCAATCCCTCATACACCGTTTTCATTGCACACCGTGACCCTACAAAATGCCCACTGGGCGCTTTTGCGATGTACTTTCACTGGTTGTACGACCAGAAGGAACTGCTCCATGTTCTCGATATTGACTGGGAGAAAAATACGAGCTGGAGAGGAGTGAGTGCTGACATCTGCCACTGAAGTATCAAACACTCAATGTTCTCCAGATCTTCCTGCTCCATGGACCATCTTCCCCAGACACGGCATTCAACCAACAGAGCCTGTACAACCTATATGCGAAAGCATTTGATGTTGCAGGCTTCGAGTCGCGAGTCAAGGCACACCTTCCACGACATCTACTAGGATATGATCAGGCCAAGATGAAGTGCGTCCTTCTCTGTCCTTCCTATCCAATACTGCTGTCATCACTGATCCCAAATCTCTAGTGTCGAGGCCAGCGAGACATCCAAGATGGGGTGGGAAAGAGGCCAAACGTATGCAGATGTTTATTCCGCTGCACTTCCCAAGAATGTATGACTAGTCTAGCTGCTTTCGATGTTCTTACTCATGTCCCACAACAGGCAATCCTTGCTCAAGCTGGCTTTCGGAACGACGAGGCCTACGATCCTGTTCATACATGCATCATTGTTCCGATCCAATTTCTTGCACTCGTGTGCCCAATGGCAGAGAAGTACCTTGCTCAAGTCAATGGTAAACATGTTTGTTCTTTTGCAATCGTTCATTTGTTAACAACTACTCAGGGAAACAGAATCTACGAGGCGCGGCAAATCATTGGTCGATGATTATTCAGCTCCGACCGTATCTCTTCCAGGTATGTTCTCATTTCTTCTCTGTGTCACTCAGTAGCCTGACATCTGGTAGGCTGCTAGTGCGCTCTACCAGACGTGCCCAAATTCGCAGATCTTCAACCTGCCCGCATTCACCGAAGATGTGAAAAACTGGATGAAGAGCGACTATCTGGTGCAATTACAAAGACTTAAGGCACAATCCGGGGATCCCAATATGCTTGAGCATGTGCAGAACGATGCCATTCGCAGCTCGCTGAGCCAGGTCTTTTCATCAAATGCAGACCTCCAAGTGCGGATGGATAGGTTGGAGAATGTGATTGAACGGCGCACAGCTCAGTTCTCGCCGTCGAAGGGATTTAGTGTGGCAAGCTATAATCAGCAGGGTACGTGCTCTACTCCTTCTGAAGTCGCATGTGCTCAGGCTCAACTGTATGTGCAGTTGCAGGCAATGCGTCACAGCATGCATCAACATCTCCTATTATCCTCCATGTTGATACAAACAACTCGCCTACGGGGACATACGAGCATGCTGATGGTCTACGGGCCTTTGCTTCCCCCCCTTCTGTCGATGCACCAAGACCGACAACACAAGTTGACTACGTCCTACCTCCAATCACAGCTTTCTACAAGTCTGACGGTCTCATAGGCTTCATGCCTCCATTCATGGGGCAGAAAGCAATTACTTGGTCCATGGTCTTCCTTGCTATCAAGCAGCCCAGCTACTGTTGGAAGGCCTGGGCTCCGTCAAAGACCATCGGGCAGTTCGAGGATGTCGCTGAAGTGTGGCGTGTTTGGACAGAAGGTGAACCAAGAACCGACACAAATGGTGTCCAAACAGGGATGAGGCCACCACTTCGCCTTGTAGAGGAGACATTTGGGCATTGCTGGCGTACTGGCAATCAGATAGGTTCGAAAACGGTACGAATCCTCTCCTGTGCGATCGTGTCACTCATTGGCATATGACAGGAAAGGACAACTGCACGCAAACGATGGGAACGTTTTCGCGAGATCCCGGAATGGATCGCCACAGAGTCGGAACGTCGTGCTGTTGCACCAGCTGTCATCATACAAGAGCTCGAAGAATTGCGGGAGCGCTCTGAGGGCGCACAGAGGATCAATCTGTCGACATTGACTGATGAGGTCAAGGCAAAGCGAGAGTTACGACAGAAAGCAGTATGTGTTCCCTTCAATCATTTGTGCATCAAACTTACTATCTGTTCCACGCAGTCCGTAGCCACCATAGTGTTGGTCCCACCTTCTCCACCAACGCCTGCTGTCCCTGTATGTGACGCAACAATTGGCGCGGTCGAGGTCATTGTTGCACCATTGCAACCTGCCATCGCTCTTCTTTCCGCTGATGTCGAGGGCAGTCCGCAAAAGCCTACTCGGAAACGACGCGCGAAACCAATAGCAGCGCGGCGTCCCTCAAAGAAACAGAAGGAGGTGTAGTAGTTTTCACAAGAACCCCTTGGCTATATCTTGTTACTTTACGGACCACACATTTGGCTGTTCACTTATCTACTTTACAGACCATTATTTACACTACATGTATACTGTAATTTGTCTTACCTATATGAGCATCGTAGTGCCCACATGTAAGGCCGGGTGCCAACTGTAAAAAAAACGTGGGCCACACACCTTCCAGCTTGGCCAACTGCATCGACCCCAGCCCCACCACCATGATCCTCCAAGCCAGGCTCTCCTGTTTTGCGAAGCCCCAGACCTTCTTCACCGCATGCTCCTCCCGCGTCAAACTCTTGCCGTTGTTCACCGGGGTCGCAAGCCACATGCCGAGCTGATATGCCTCCCCGCGTTGGTCGATGCACGCTCTGAGGGACCCACTTGCCGCAATTGCTGAATCCGTACCCGACATGCAGCAGTGTCCCAGCGTCCACCACGTTTAGCTAGCGGCGCCTGCGCGCTGGGCCACGTGAACTTGACCGATGCCGGCCTGCGCCACGCCAGCATGTACATGGGGTTGCAGAAGTACTACCGCACAGAGGCACCGCGTCCTGGGTCCGCCCGTGGGGCGATCTGGCGCTTGACAGGACACATGATCTTGCTGTACGTCGAGTTCGCGAAGGCCTCCAGATCGGCCACCTGCGCAGCCAGGTTTGCTGCGCTGGTAGACGCCCCCACTTTGGGAACGCACTGGAAGCGCGTCTGCAGTCCCTCGCACGAAGCGCGTCTGCAGTCCCTCGCGCGCTTGCAACACCTTCTTGTGACGGACAGGACACAAGCATTTGCCCGCAGGAGCGGGGAGGAGAGGGCCATCGTGCTCATCAGTGTAAACACGTAGAACACCACGTCCGACAGTGTAGGCATAGCCGCGATGACCCGCGATGACAGGAGCTGGAGGATAGATTGATTTAGCGCGTGTCGAATCAAGAGCACGGCCCACCAGGGAGATTGATTTAGCGCGTGTCGAATCAAGAGCATGACCCACCGGGGAGATCACTAACGTGTGTGTATTGCATGATAGATAGGGCAGGAAGGGGGCAGAGCCAGATATGGTACACACAGGAGAGAAAACCAGCTCTGTATATATCATAGGTACCGCTCGAATTTGTAGCACGCAAGTGGGGGGATGGGGAGTTTCCGAGCGTCAGCAGGTTCCGGAAATTGCCCGATTAGGCTCGAAAGTCGGTGACACGCCCAGCCAAGAGGCGGGTGACGGGGACGAGAGCGATCGGAAATGCCGAGCCGGCAAAGGGCAATTTGGCCCAGGACGGAGTTTCAAACAGTGGTGACCCAGCACAGCCCCTGTCCCCCGATCGCGGACATGTCACCGTGAATCGCTAGAGAACCTCAGATACATAGAGTATACCTAGGGTAAACGCTCTGGTCTGGTTACCTCTGTGGTAACCCCCGGGTAAGCCTAGCGAGGTAACCACTTGAATACACGGATTATACGCTATCGTGATCGGATTTCGTCTTGCGGAATCTCCGAGGGCACAGCCGAACAGACCCGAGCCTATGTCTAGGAGCGTGATCTCATCAACGACCGTTCTTTCGCTAAACGCTTGCTTGCACAAAGAAGAAAGCGCCGTGCGACGCGCTGCGTGTATTCGCGCACCTATCCTACACTCGTCTAATCTACGCTATTCATCTTTTTTAATCGATATCCACCCACAATCGAGTTACGTGGCGCCAACACAAGACCTCAAGACGTTCAGGCTCGCGTAGTTGGGAGGTGTCAAACCACGGCTCGGATTGGGTTTCAAGGGCGCGAATACAGTCTGGTGTGTGACTGAACTCCGCTCGGGAGTACTTGTGCTGACTATGGGGTGTAGGAAATGGCCTTGCCGTACATTCCTCCGAATCAACCACATACCTCCTTGTCTCGCAAGGCAGCTCGACTCTCTACCGTCTTGTCGCCCCCTTCATTCAGTGTATTCTCAGATATTCCAGTCCACAACCCTTCCATGATCCCCTTTGACTCTCGGGACTCCACGCCCACTGAAGACAACACGGCCAATTCGGAACAGCACCGACAAGCCCAGGCACTCGCCGAACTCGATTTGAAGACGCACGAACTTCGTTTGGAGTCTAAGCGGGCAGAGCAGTCGGACAAGGGTACCACCCGATCGTATCAACGCCATATCGACGGCTATTTTGGGTGGTGGGAGAACAACAACATGAGACGCATCCAAGACAACCCCAACGCGGTTCAGATAAACTCGCTTCCCATTACTGCTGCAAAAGCGAGCCCCTTCCTTGAGTACGAGATGACACGGGAAAAGGTAAGACTCAATCAACTTCTGACATCGAACGAGGGTACGCACTGAACTCATTCATTCAGAAAAAGCGCGGCAAAAGCGGCTCAATGGAGACTGTCGCAGGCTCCTCTGTGGGGAAATCCCATGTCTCACAAGTCATCAACGCGCTCGAGCAGTATCGATTCAACACGGCACATCTCTACAAGTCATGTCCCGAAGCTCAGCTCGGTCTGCGGCAAGACAGTCGCATTCGTCAATTCGAGTCAGCTTCCAAGCACAACGAGCCGAAACGCGCTGAGAAGGCACAGATCATCAAAGCAGCTGGCGGCATGTCTGGTAAGTTGCGTGAGTGCTCTGTGTTTGTACGCATCTAACAATTGTTTTCTCCAGATACATACACATCAGAAGAGGTCATCCGATGCTCTCGATGGGCATTGATCAACTTCACAACACCGAGCAAGATCTGCAATGCCATCCGGGATCGCTCCATGCTCTTACTTGGCACCTGCACTGCATTTCGAGGAGACAGCACCCGTCAACTTCAATGGTCGGATCTATTCTTGGGGAGCGTTCTTGCTGGAAGCGAAGATAATGCCCGGGTTAGTATCTTTGACGCTCTGTACTCTGTCTGCAATCTGACTTGTGTGTCCAGGTCCTCGGCATCCTATCTGACAACGCGAAGACCAATCAGACCGGTCGCCTCGACGAGTTTGGAGTCCTCCGCCATCGCCATGTTGAGATGTGCGGTATTGGAGCCCTGGCTTTGCACTTCTTTGCGCATTTCCACATCCTCAACAATCTGCCGCCTGTGTTTGCACCTCAGTTTGAGAAGGGTTGCGGAGAATACGGCAAACGAGACTGGTATTCTTACCATGTCTTCTTTACCGTCAATCCCATGAATGAGATGACCTACGCAAGTACGTGATTTCATCTCGGGGTATTAAGCATCTAACAAGCCACTCCCAGCGCATCACGGTCGCGTTGTTGCTATGCATCAAGCGAACGACATATCCATCACCAAAGTTACGCATGGTGCACGCCCATTTGCGGCCCAAACAGCTCGTGCCCATGGCGCAACTGTGAGTGATACAAAGGCGATGGGCGGCTGGAACGACAACGGATCATTCAAGAACTGCTATGACCGCAAGTTTCCAGTTGAGGCTCTCCTGGGGGCGGCAAACTTCAAGAGCAGTCGACCGGAGGCTTATCATGTTGCGCGTGATACTCTTTGTGAGTTTCTTACCATTCATGTGTCTTATCAATGCTCACACACCGTCTCAGGTCCTCCTGCAGACCTTGTTGCTCAGATCTTTCCATGGATTGAAACCGAGCAGAAAGGGCTAACCGAACGAGAGCGCGCAGACTCAAGATGTCGAGACCTTGCTCTTCGACAGGTTCTCGCCACCCTTCTCTGGTTTCGTACTGTGCTTCTGCAAGACATGGCGGTGCTCTTTGTTAAAGATCCAAACGCAAAGATCTTCTCGTATCCGCCGTTCAGCTCGGGTTCATTTCGATTGTTTGCACGGGACTCGACTGCAGCTATTCAACGAGCCAATGACGAGGCTGCGCTGAATTTCAAGAATCTGCCGGATCACCTTGTTTCTGCAGTCAAGGCTGTTGTCGAGCGCCAATCTCTGGCATTCGAAAGTGAACGCAAGTGCAATCTGGAGCAGATGCGAATGCTCCAGGATCAGATGACGAAGATGGGTCAAACAATTCTTTGTATGGCTGGATCGAAGCGGGCTAAGCTCAACAATGGTATTGAAGTCTGCAGTCTCTCATTCTATCATGGTTCTGACATATGAAATTTAGGCTCTTCTCACATCTCTGCCACACCTTCCACGCCAACACTACCAGAGACATCATTCCCCATGCCGGCTGTCTTTGATAGCCTGCCCTCTGATGTCTCCATGCAACGAGATCCATTCGTATGGCCTGGTTTCCAAAACGAAGCAGGGACCAGTGGGATGTCTGATGTACAACCCTGGTCAGAGCTGGACACACCGTCTCTCCAACTCTCCCTTGCACCTTTGGATTTGTTGCCAACATTTGATTTGGTAGCCACGGCACCTCCACCTGCAGTCCCAAACACTGCTGCTGTCCCAATCCCACTACCTTCTGTGTTCCCTTCTGTGCCACCATCTACCTCATTGTTCTGGCCTGTGACACCCATGGCACCTGTTCCTGGTACTCCAGAAGGGAAACTTGCCTTCTATCATCAGCGCTACGGGAAAGCTCGATTTGACAAGCACGCACCTCAGTGGATCGATGGAGATTGGCTGCCATGCTACAAGTATTCAAAAGCAGTCACAGTATGGGATTATTGGACTGAGTGGAAGGATGGGCTTGATGGATATCTGCCAGTGGAGGAACTGACACTTCAATGGGGAGCCAAGTGGAGACGCAACATCTCGGCACTCAAAACTGAAAACACTCGACGGATGCGAGTTGTCGAGCTTGTGATAAAGTTGATCCAGCGCCCTCATTGGGATTTGAAACGCACTCATCGCTTCATTTCCACACAATATGGGACCTATCGTGCACGTAACTTTGCGGACAATGTTGTTAACAATGAAGCTGGCCGAGACTGTGTGCTTGCTGCTGCTTCCAACTTTGCTTAGTGTATTTTAATAGTATTTTTAGTCTATCTACTAAGAATAATTGATCTCCATACCTAGCATAATCATTATCTCTCTGCAGTGTTTGGAATAAGGCTTGTTGGACAAACAGTAGAGTTACTTGATCTTGACTGGCTGTCAGGGGAACCCCCGCTTTTGTCCAATCATCATGAGATCTTGCATGTGACTGTGCATGTGCCATCTGTCAAGCGTCACATACTTCAGTCCAGACTTCCTTTTCAAGCATGCCCTCATGACCCTCAGACATGGGCCCCCATTGTTCCAACGGTCCGGCTCCCATTGTTCTGTCAGGGGAACCCCTGCTTCGGACCGCTCTGCCTTCGATCAGGCATGTGATCGCGCTCGCGTGACCTGTCAGCTGTCACGTGCCACGGCCCGGACTGCCACGCCAAGCGCTTCTCTCTGACGGGCACATGGTCAGGTGTCCCATTGTTCCCACTGTCTCGGTTTCCTATTGTTCTGTCATGGCCATTGTACTTATTGTTCCCATTGTCCTTTGTTTGTCGCTGCGTGGTCTATTGTTCTTGTACCATATAAATAGTGGCGCCTGGCAAGGAGAATCCCCAACACGGTTTCTCTTTGGATTCTCCCTTGCCAGGTATGCCGGTCTTGTACCTAGCTACCACTATTAATCACCTTTGGATTCTCCCTTGCCAGGACTCTGACACCGGGCCTCGAGGTTGCCCTTACATGTTCTCCCCAATCTGGCCCCTCATTGTTCTCTGGCCCCATTGTCTGGTGCTTCCCATTGTGCTTGGTTATCCATTGTTCTTTAGGCTATATATAGTGGGCCCTGACAGGGAGAGTCTCCAACTCGGTTTCTCTTTGGACTCTCCCTTGTCAGGTTTGCCAGTCTCCTGTACTATTTGATCCCCTTATCTGATGCTTTGGACTCTCCCTTGTCAGGACTCTGAGATCAGGCCTCAAGGTTGCCCTTACACTGGTCATGGAAATGGAGGATATACACCGGGGACCACATATCACCTATTCACAGATGGGCAAATGGAGTGGATGAATCAGGAGATTGAGCACTATCTCCGCATCTACGTCAATTACCATCAGACGGACTGGTCGGAGTGGCTGGGAATGGCAGAGTTTGCATATAACAATAAAATGAACATGTCTACCAAAATATTGCCATTCTATGCAAAACACGGATATCACCCATGGAAGGGAGTGGAGCAGCAGATGGAATCAAGAAATGAGTCAGCAGAGGAGTTCGTAAAAAGAATCAAAGAGATGCAAGACAAAGCAAAAGCAGCACTAGAAAAAGCAAATGAAAAAATGAAAAAAATACTACAATAAACAAAGAAAAGAAGTTCCGGAGTTGAAGGTTGGAATGAAGGTGTACATAGAAGGGGACAATATTGAGACGGATAGACCATTGAAGAAGATGAGCAACCAGAGACTGGGACCATACAAGATATTGGAGAAGGTTGGAGCGGCTGCATGGAAGCTGGATTTGCCGGACACAGACCAAAGACACCCAGTGTTCAACAAGTCACTGTTGACACCCTATCACAAACCACCCCCCCATTGCCAAGAGAAGAGACCTGTAGCCAAGATGGTTGGAGGAGCAGAAGAGTGGGAAGCCGAAGAAATTGTGAAGGAATGGAACGTTGGCCCAGGGAAGCAGTACTTGGTCAAATGGAAGGGATGGCCGCATAGCAAAAATACCCGGGAACCATCACATCATCTTACCCATGCAAAGAAGGTCCTGAGAGATTGGCACAGAGAACAATCCAACCCAGACACACGCATTTGCCGCCTGCCAACGCTCGAAGCCGGACATTGGGACTATCTCATCCATTGCTACCAACCCAAAGACAAGCACCTTCCATATCCCCAATGACAACTCTTCGACCCTTACAAAAACGTCTTCACACCCATTGGCCCAGTCAATGAGGACATCGACCCTAGAGAGGGGGTAATATCATAGTTCGACCACTTTTTCATCTTATCATCGACAATCTTATCTTATCACAAATCATGGCATCTGACAGTCCAGGCTAGGGGTCCAGGGGATCATCTTTATCGATTTGAGGCTGCACGACATATGCTCTGGAAGGTTCTACTACAACCCATGACCAGTGCTCCATGCAGTACATAGCCTTATGACTCATTAGTGAATGCAATGATTTTTGGTTCAACCCTTGCACATGGCATTTGAATTTCTCTCCTCATCTCATCAAATTGATCTTATCATTGGGTAATTGGAGTGAAGCATTATCAATCTTTTGGAGGCAATAGCAAGTGGGAGGAACATTAATTCAAGTGTTATTATACAGTACAAGGGCGAATTGAAGTGAAAAATTGCTTTTTTCTAGAAAATATGTCCCAGAGTTCAAGAAAAATTGTAACTTGTGACCCATATTTAAGTGTTCAGTTCAGCAGTCTCTGTGACCTGTGATATGAATACTTGGTCAAAATTGGACAGTATCTGATTTTCTCACAGTATCCTTTCTTCATTTCTGAACTTGGTACAACACCTCCAGACACCTTCCAATCTCTACTTAATGTTGATCAAACACTGAATACGAAATATAAATATTCATTCCAATTACTACATTCAACAATGCAATCTTTCCCACTCAAGAAGCCAGTTGTATAAGACAATTGCACCCTGAGGATCCTCTTCACTTTTTGTCAATATCTCCTGGACTTCCTCAGTGTTCTCGTGATTGCGTATGATCCTTGCTGCATTTCGGGCATTTGAAAGCCAGGTCTTCTTAACCCCCAGTGCATTCCAGATATCATCAGAGCGTACTTTCTTATACAAAACCATCAGGATGGAGGACCTATATCTTGGATGCATGCTCACCAAAGTCCCAACTCGGACACTTTTGTACTGGGAGCAAAATGCATCAACAAACTTCCAGTCGTGGACAATCTCAGAGTTTTGAACAACATGATTCCTGTGTGAGGCAAATGCCTTGAAACCATTGCGTTTGTCAAGGATATCCCGCAGATATTGCACCTCTTGACGGCATGGCAAAGAGCTGGAAACCACTGAGCTTGTCTGTTCCTCCTCAGAATTGGAGGTGCCCTTTGTTGCCAACTGGGTGGAAGATACTGGTGAAGTTGTTGAGTGCATGGGCCTGGGTTTACCAAAAATGTCTTGGAGAGTGGAAGTCTGTATCAAAGATGAGTGATGAGGCAAGGATAAGAAGACTGACTGACATTATCCACATTCAGATGAACATGTCCCATGGCAGAGACACTCAGTTTGTCAGGGTTGAATACAGTGTTCTCCACTGAAGCACCTGACTCAATGTGCGCAAACGGAACCATGTATTCTGGATCTTCACTGTCCGGAAAAGAGAGACGGACTGAATGTTCCAGCTAGAATCAACATTCTGATGCTGAAATCCAGTAGATTCACTTACTTCTCTCAGAGGGCGCTCGAAATTGAATGGCCCCAGCACTCATCTGGAGCTGTGATAGAAGCAGCGGTGCCGAGACTTCAAATGATCCAGTATCTTGCACAGTATGAGTCGGGACCTCCATCATTACAAACGCGAGAGTTTTCAGAGCAGGTGTGTGACGGAAGTCTTGCACATACACCCGGATCTTGACCTGACGCGTAGTCGAAGGGGGAATCTGTTCAGTCTAAACAGGCATCATCAGTTAAAATCCAGCGCTGATATTTTCTCGAAATCACCTCTGCCGGGATTGGATTCGAACTCAAACGGGCAGTGGAACTAGATCGCGCGGACTCGGAAGCCCGAGACCTAGATTCTGCTGGTGGTGGACCATTTGGGACCACTGGGATCGGGTTTGACGAATATTGGGTGGCAGCCCGCGGCGGGAGATTCGTTGTGAAGTGATTCCGGGGTTCGAGCAAGGCATCCTTAAGTTCGTCCACCTTGACCGAGGACTTCCTGAACTTCCCAGGCCATTTACCCTGCTGCCGTACCACGAGATTGATCAGGTCTGCCTTCTTCAGACCGGCACTAGCCTGGATAAGAAAACAGAAAGAGGAACGCGCAGAACTTCGACGCACAAGTCCTCGGCGGTGTACGGACGTTCCGTCATAACTAAGTGGAGAATGAGAGGAAAGAGTAAGCAGAGGGGCCACACTTCATCGGAACGTCTGATTGTGCCGACCCATATGTGCGATCGAGCAATACAGTGGCGGAATTGGGCAAGGAGCGATCGGTCTCAGTGGACACTCTGATCGGTCTGAACGGACAAGATATTCAGTTTGCGTCAAGCTGCTCAATCGCGCGGAATGGTCGTTTTGATAAGCCGACTGGCCCGAGTGAGCAGGATTGTTTGTGCAGACTAAAGAAACCGAATTTGAAGGGTCCCTGGGTCCGGAGACCTTTAACGATGCACACTGTGCTGCTCAAGGAGTCTTCCAGAGTGCTTCAGGATCCGAGATCAAGCTGTGTTTATCAACAGAAGAGGGAGAGAACCGAACGGTCAAAGCGGCCATTTGGCCAGAAGGTACAATCAGTTCATTTGAACGCTCCCAAAAAGGAGACCGAACGATACATGGGACAAGGTAACCACGCCTAGATATATTCGACATCAGGCCGCTATCTGAGCGGGCGCATCGCGCACGTGACGGGTCACCATCGGGTAAACGTGGAAACCACCACGCCCAGAAGGTACAATCAGTTCATTTGAACGCTCCCAAAAAGGAGACCGAACGATACATGGGACAAGGTAACCACGCCTAGATATATTCGACATCAGGCCGCTATCTGAGCGGGCGCATCGCGCACGTGACGGGTCACCATCGGGTAAACGTGGAAACCACCACGCCCAAGGTACATGTTCCTACGACTGGTATTTAGTCACTACGACCTGCTCTAAAGCGCATGCGTCGACTGTCCTAAACTCGGTAACTAGTGCAGAACATTTGTCCTCGTCTGGGACCTCGGAGGCGTGAAGAGTTGCATCATCCCCAGTAAGATGGATCCGAGGAGGGAGCGTAAGCCGTTTGACGTTGATTTCCTCACAGGCGTAAGCTATTTTGACGGTGGTATCCTCGTAGGTACCGTTGAATCGAAGGCATAGGCACGAGCCGTGGCTCATCGAGCAACGGAATGGCTTGAAGGACTTCGGGAAGCGAGACTTCCCCAAATGTCAAACAATAAACAATGTGTAGAATCAGTATGCCTGACGAGAGCCAAACCAACTCGAGCAACGAAGACTAGTGGACTAGGTCTGTAAGTGTTTCGTAATCGAACGCCCTTTCTCAGCAGTTGAATCTGATGCCTGATTGGACGCTCCTTCCTCACTATCACCATGCCCACTTACCGTAGGTTGCAGCAGTACGCCATTGCTATCAGCATCGCCAGCGTTCTCTACAATGGCGCCGAAGGCGCAGTTTCTATTGCATTTGGCTCTGAAACCGGCTCTCGTTCTCTCGTTTTCTTTGGGATCCAGTCCGGTATCGAAGTTGCTTCCGCCCTTCTCGTCCTGTGGAGATTCAAGTCCGTTGCTCAACCCAGCGAAGAGAACGACCACTGTTTGAGTGAGAGAGACCTCAAGTGAGTCTACCGCGTGCTTCTTGGTCCTAGTCCTCAATATCAATGCTTATACTGGACGGTAGGATTGAAAAGGTCGCATCAGGCAGCATTGGCGTACTTCTCCTTCTCCTCGCTCTTGCAACGGAGATATCCTCCATCGTCTCGCTTGCCCTGCATCTTACTCCCGAGACATCCGACTCTTCGCTCATCATCTCCGGCTCGGCGCTCTTCATCATGATCCTGATCTGGCTCCCTAAAGGATACCTCGCACGCGCTTTGAATAGCAGTGTGATGCAAGGCGAGGCGAAATGCTCCCTGTCTTGCATCCAGATCACGATTGTACTCTTTGTCGGCTCTCTCATCTTCCGGTTCTGGAAAGGTGGATGGTGGGTGGATAGTGCAACATCCATCGTGCTCGGCCTCTTTTTCGGATGGGAAGGATACAAGATGCTCAGATGGGTGACAAATCCCGCCTTTGATGGGGGCTGCTGTGCGCATGATCGCCCTGCTACTATCCATCTTGAAGACGGGAAAGAACTACAAGAGCCCTACCGTGACTTGTGTGAATGCTGTCTAAACAAGAGCGAATGCAAAGAGGCGGATTCGTGCCAATGCTCAAGCGTAGACCTCGACCAGCCGGTGAGATCCCGTGTATTTGCGGTCGATCTCTTGATAAATACCGTAAATTTCCAGACCGACTGTTGCCAACCCACTGCTGTCGACGACTCGAAGTGCTGCACTCATGATGTCATCCCTCGCGCAACGGTGCAGTGTGATCTTCTCGTGGCGTGTCCCATTTGATGCTGATATGCTCTATTTCAGACGAATTGCTGCTCATCTCCAATGACCCAGCCCGACTCTTGCTGTCAAACCAATCCGGGGACCGAGCCCTGCTCTCAGCCCATCCGACAGAACGATTCGTGCTCCGATTCAGTGGCCCAGATCGACTCCTGCTGCTCTCCGGAATTCGATCGCCCTTCTCCTGCTACAGCCCGAAAGGCAGGCTCCTGCTCCCATTCGGCTGTTTAGTTCGACTAGCGATAAGGCTGGATGTATGCGTTATGCCATCTGTGCTATGTCTGAGCTCTAGAGGACGATCTCCCCATGTATGCGTTCAAACCCAGGTGTTTGTTGACCTTTCCGGAGAAATCCGGCAGGTAGTATGTCCCAAAGCCAGAAAAGTTGTGGGGAAACCGCGGATATCACAGACGAGCATCAGACATGCCTTGCATGAGTGCTGAATCGGGATGATTTTTGGTACAAGCAAAGTGCTACGGAGAGAATTGTAGGGTATCTGAATGCGATCTACGCAAATGGTATACTACACAGGGTGTCTGCTCCTTATGTCCTTCGTTAGACCAATCGTCGTTGTACATCGAAATCTACCGGATTAGGAAGCACGAGTGTGCAGGATCACAGCGGGGTTGACTCGGCGAGGAAAGTGTTTGCGAGCAGTCTCGAGAGAACAGAGAGCTTTGAGCATATTGCATGCTGCCGTTGGGGCTTGGCCAAGCCGTGGTGATACTACAAGCAACTCATACATTACACAGGCTACTGGCTGGCCTTCACGAGCTTGAGCTTGCGAATAACCCTTTGCTCGATGTCAACTCGGCTCCCAGTTTGTACCCCATGACCTATTACCGCCGGTGAGTTTCCGCAGAAGGACCGAAAAGACCGAAACATACTTTGTCCCAATCAATCTTCTGCCTGGTGAGTGGCAGAGCTCGACGAAGACTCTTGAATGTCTTCTCCCCCATCTCTTGATACGTGTCGTTCAACGATGTCTGGTACTTCCTTTCCTCGTTCTCGATCAAGGCAAGTAGCTTGGTTGTTGAGACGTTGGGGGAAGCTGTTACGATAGCGGCAGGTAGAGAAATTGATATGTCGTGCGTTGTCGAAAGTTGGACCTAGATGTAATTAGACCGCTATGCAAGCAGTCGCTAGAGACGGAAGTTACGCACGTTGCCCTGCTCGTAGTAGTGCACATTCACCAACACCATTCCCTTGACCGTATTCTCATTCAAATCTACCGTGTACTGTGACCGCCATCGGCCCGACCTGCGACGAAGGAGATCAGCGAACAGAACTGCAGCTTCGTTTCATTTCCAGTACCAATAGTTCGTCGGATTGTACTTGTTAGCCACCACCTGGATGACGAACTGGTTTGTGGTGTCTTTGGAGGCGAACACAGATGCAACACCGTCATGGAAGTGCGCAGTCAAGTAAGTTTGGGTGGCCTTGTCTAGTGCCTCCCTACACGGAATGAGACAATTAGACTCCACTACTCGAAGGACACACCTGAAGGGTTCAGAGTCCGTGTTGGGATCCACGGATTGTGAGTCTGATGTCTCCTAGATGAGGGGTCCAGGATACAGCCACGGTCCGAAGTTGATTACGAACGAGAGTAAGATGGTCAAAGAGGAACGACGTCTTCGACCTCGGGTCTAAGAAGCGCTCTTGACCATCGCCGGACGTGGAAACGCGTGCAGCTTCGCTGATTATCGTCTGGGATCGTGTGTCAAATACACAGTCGGACCGCGCTTAGACGACGCACCGTACCTGATGCTGAGCTCCTGGAACATCCACTACCATGAACTGTGTGATATTGTACTCTTTCAACGTTGGCAGCACGCCCTCGTGAAGGGAATCGTCGTCCGAGATGATGTTTCTGACGTCTGTGGGATGAGTTAGTTCCATCGGAAGTTAAGCGCAAGAAAGGGGAAAGTCCCACCATTCAAAACATCGTTGATTTCCCCAGGTGGGGATTGCAGCAAGAAACTAGCGGCTGCTCCGATGCGCTCAGTCGCGTTCATGGCGAGGAGGAGATGTGCTTTGATGGACGAACAAACAGGAACAAGCCCATGCCAATGATCAGCGGAATCTTACTGGCACCAGTTCAACCACATACTGTGCCACTGTGACAGTCAATTCCTGCTCGAACTGGTCTTTTCCCGCAATGCCATTCATGTCGACTCGGGATCCTAATCGTGTCATGCTGGGCCAACGAAGTCAAACTCTGCAGTCGAGACCCCGCTGTACCTTACCACAAGATTTCGCGACGTCGCCGCCATCTGTCAACCCGGGTGAACCGCTTATCAAACGCGCGACAGCATGAGGCCTCACGCGGCGCGTCTGAGTACACTGTCTCGCATCTGTTTCCGCATCTCCCACCTATCTCAGTTCATCGAGAGGGGAGAAGCTACCCGCCCACCCTGATTCAGTTCGGACGACATAAGAACGTGGTGGCGAAGCGGGACTAAGTACCTTTCTTTCGCTTTCGCCATGCACCGTCCATTGACATCTTCTTCTCTTTTCTATATGCTATGCGGCCCGTGAGTGCTGGGCGACCACGTTGTTCACGAACTGCACTCACGCGTTATTTCTGCAGGCGGCACATCAAGCGGATCGTCTTCTTCGGCCTTGGATTAGCATGTCTCATTTCTTTTCTAATCGTTAAGACTCCGCCATCGACCAGGGCCGATTACTTTGAGCGTGTTTTACAACGGATGCAGCCCACACCTCCCCCGTCATTGTCGATCCCACTCAGAGCCGGTCTCAGCGCAA